TGGTGGCAGTGGGGACAGAATTGTTCTGTAAATCTCATTGTGTGCACATAGATGTGCAGTGGTTTTGGTTAGGGCATAGTCTTAGTTTTCTACTGCTGTGACAAACCACCATGACCAAAGCAACTTCTAAACAAAAGCATTTAATTAGGGGACAGCTCACGGCTTCCAAGAGTGGGTCCACGCCCATCGTGGCAGGGAGTATGGCAGCAGGCAGGCAGGCATGGTGCTGGAGAAGGAGCTGAGAACTTACATCCTGTCTAAAAGTTGGAGAGGGAGAAAGAAGACAGAGACAGAGCAGACAGAGCCTGGAGAGGGTTTTTGAAGTCTCAAAGCTACCCCAGTGACAAACCTCCAAGGCCACACCTCTAACCCCTTGCTAAAGTCCTCGAACAATTCACATATATGAGCCAGTGGGGACTGTTCTCATTCAGACCCCACATTCTAAGGTTGCTTGAAGGCAATAGAAAAGTAAGATGACATATCTAAGGATGAAGCTTTTTCCCTCCAAGATTTATTATGTATGCATGTATACCTGCAGGCCAGAAGAGGGCACCAGATCTCATTACAGATGGTGGTACCCTGTGTGTGCTGGGAACTGAACTCAGGTCCTCTGGAAGAATAGTCAGTGCTTTAACTGCTTAGCCATCTCTCCAGCCTGGTTAATGCTTTAAAAAAAAAAAAAAAGGGTGTAATATAGCTTCTCCTGGCTGCCTTTAGTACAGCCATTCTCAACCTGTGTTTCATGACCCCTTTGGTAGGGGGTAAATGAACCTTTCACAGGGGTCGCCTAAGACCATCAGAAAACTCAGATATTTACATTATGATTCATAAAAATAGCAAAATTACAGTTATGAGGTAACAATGAAATAATTTTCTGGTTGGGGTCACCACAACACAAAGAATCGTATTAAAGGTCGCATCATTAGGAAAGCTGAGAACCATTGCTTTACTCAGTAAAGACAGCAGCCGAAGGGTTCAAATTCCAGGCTGCAGTAAACTATCTCCATCCCTATAAGTACTTTTTAATTTTGAAATTGGGTTAAAGTTGTCCAGGCACAGGCCTTGAAACTTTATCCCTCTTGCTTAAGTCTCTAGGCAGCTGGCCTGCTGGCCTGGGCCATCAATCCTAGTTTTTCACTTTTTGATGCCCCCGTCACCCTTAAACTAAAAGCTGTTATTAACTGAACACTCTTATCAACCACTGCTTTTAGTTTTGTCTGCTTGTTCCTAACTTATTCATTGTTAGAGTACCTTTGTGCTGCAAAACCTTGAATGCTAGTCCCTTACTGCAGCTGGGACTCTGGTGCTTTTGGCTGCTGTACTTGCTGATAGGTAGGTCTCATATTTAATCTGTAGTTTACAGTATCTAACACTCTGTTCATGCTAGACTATAACTGGATTATAAAGGTTGATTTTAATTTCTCATTAACCCAAATAGTTTTTTTTAAAAAAAAAAAAACACATCAGTTTTGCCAGGCGGTGGTGATGCATGCCTTTAATCCCAGCACTTGGGAGGCAGAGATAGGCAGCCCTCTGTGAGTTTGAGGCCTGCGTGGTCTACAGAGTGAGTTTCAGGACAGGCTCTACAGCTACAGAGAAACCCTGTCTCAGAAAACCAAAAAAAATAAAATAAAAAAAAAAATAGCAGTTTTGATTTTGATTGAATTTGCAATCCTGAGATGATATTCTTACCATGTCCTCATCTTACAAACAGGACATACAGTGGAGGTGATCTTACATACCAGTAGCATTGAATCCCAACTTTTTCCTTCTTGAGTAGTAGTCATTGGAGATTTTTGTTGTTGTATTCTTTGACTTTGAAAGCCCTTGGTACCCTATTGAGAATGATGGTATTTAATTGTAAAAATAGAAAAGTAAGACTCTTCTAGATTAGTATTTTTTTTATAAGATTTAATGTGGTTTGACTTTGGTTTGGTAGGAAAAATTCAGTTAACCCAGAACAAATACATCTACTAATTTCTAGGCACCCTCAAACATACGGAAGACAACTTACTTATGCAATCTAGGGCTCATATAGTCTGGTGTGTTTCTTAACCTTTATAAACAGATGGCCTTATTTTGAGTCACTTGCCAAATGGTCCAACTGCTCATTTTAAAATGAGTAGTGTTCGTCTTCGTAAAGAAATTAAGGTGAGTTTTATGTATTCCTTGATCAATATTGGTCTCAGGTTATCAGTAGATTCTTAAAGATTTAATTGATGTTAATTGTTTGACCTTCGGATGACAGCAGGTTGTTGAGAGGCCATAAACAGTTCTGACAGTAGCAGTGTCTTCTTACTATGAGTGTTGATTTTCTAAGGGTTAACATTAGACTGTGTTCAGTGCATATTAGCACATTAAATATATCTTTGTGGGTTTGATAAGCCATCTCTTACATTTCTGTCATTTTAAGAATATTCAAAGCCAGGATTGGTGGCTCCTGCAGTAATCCCAAGACATGGGATTACTCTGACCAAGGAAGAAGGGCTAGGGTTTTAGGGAAGGTTCAGTGCCAGACCAGTCTGAGCCGGAGTAAGACCCTCGGTCAAAACCAATAATTGTCTAAATTCTAGACCCAAAAATTATAACGTATAATTCTTCTCATTATCTTTACTGAACATTGTATTTTTTTTCCAGAGGCGAGGCAAAGACCCCACAAAGCATGTTCCCGAGATAATTCTGAATAACTTTACAACACGGTTAGGCCATTCTATTGGACGCATGTTTGCTTCTCTCTTTCCTCATAATCCTCAATTTATTGGAAGGCAGGTTGCCACCTTCCACAATCAGCGGGATTACATCTTCTTCAGGTTTCACAGGTAAGGGCAAACGCTAACTTAGACCTTTTTGTCTGTATGAACCTGTTCTGATGTAACAAGTCCTGTAAGCTTTGCCATAGAAAATGAATTTGAATGAACCCAACTTTTCAACTTTTGTCTCTGAAGATATATATTCAAGAGTGAAAAGAAAGTGGGAATTCAGGAACTTGGACCACGTTTCACCTTAAAATTACGCTCTCTTCAGAAAGGAACCTTTGATTCGAAATACGGAGAGTATGAGTGGGTCCATAAGGTATGTGGTAGTTGTTCTAAAACCCGTTTGCTTAAGTAGCCCAAAGAACAGTGGTCTTTAAACAGGACCAACATCAACCTAGGAAGGAGCAAATCTCAGGCCCAGACCTACTGCGCCAGATGGCTTCCTGGGGCGTAGGCCCAGCAGGCTCTGAAGGCTGGCACGGTGGCTCTGCTTCACTGTTTGAGAACTACCACATTTGGGCTCAAGAGCACTGGAAAGCGCCTTAAGAGTTGAAATGTCTGTAAAGCATTTCCTGCCTAGTTAGCAGAAGTACAGCCTTCCCATTTTTACTTTAAAACTACATGCGAGCATGGAACAGAAATTTTCAGCTCATTTAAATCCAACCTTACAACTGTCAGGGTCACAGATATACCTATATATAGTGTTTTTAGCAGTGTTACTCATAAAGATCTATGAAAGCCAGCTTATCTAAGTTGTTTTTCATCGTCTTCTCTAATTTTCAGCCACGGGAAATGGATACAAGTAGAAGAAAATTCCATTTATAACCTACTAAGGGAGTAGTAGTGGATTTTGCTGGACAGAACTGTCTTGAAAATCTTGGTAAATTATTTAACAAAACACCCTTTTCAAAATGGAATTTATTGACTTTATAAATCTTATATTTGAACAAATGACCAGGTGCCATGAATTTCCACTGTTGGAAAATAAATGTAATTTTTTTGAGGGTCTAAAAGTCCTAAAACTTGTCATTTCAGATTAGCTGTGAATAATTCTGTTGGAATGAAGAGTCAAACTTTATAATATGCACTCCTAAAGGACTTACAGGCTAGAAGTTTTGTTGGTAGACAGTGTGTAGCCCTGATTTAATACACCAGTCCTGGAGGCCAGTTTGCCAGGACTTGGCACCAAGACACAGGTCACTGGAGTTAATCTTTCAGTTCCTGTTTTCTTGCTCCTTTTAACCTAATCACCGTCTACTATCCTGCTTCATTCAGATACTGTCTCCAGTTCTCAAGTTCTGTTATTGTTGGTTTTGTTTTTTGGAGACAGGGTTTCGTTGTGTAACTGTGGCTGTCCTGGAACTTCCCAAGTGCTGGGATGAAAGGCACGCTACACCACTACCTAGCTCAAGTTCTTGATTTTTCTAATGGGACTGTTATTTCCAAACTGAAGCAACCACCTTTCTGGTTTAACTGCTAAATGTACTACAAAGGGTTTTGTTTGGAGTCTTTTGTTATTGTTGTGTGAATCCAGAGGACCTGTAATCCCTTTCTGTATTATTTATTAAACAGTCTCATTAAACCTAGGGCTCACCATTTTAACCCATGCTGGTGGCCAACAAACCCTCTTCCCCCGGTGCTAGTGTTATGGGCATGCACGACCATGCTCTGCTTTGTACAGGTGGCAGGGATCTGAATACAGATCATAATCACACAGCAGATACTTTTACCCACTGGGCCACTCTCCACCCGTATTTGGAATATTTAAAGTAATTCCTATAACAGGCTGCACACCGCACCCCCATGTCTGCGCTCTGTGCGCTGGCATCCAGTTACCGAGCTTCAGGCAAGGAACTGGTGGTTAAAATACACAGACACACACAGACAGAGGGATAGCAACACGGGTCATCCTTGAATTCCCCAAGAATGCCCCCTTTATTGCGTTCAGGGGCAGATTATATAGAGATAGCCACGCCCCAGCCAAACCCGCCAGAAACCACTCTCCTGCCATCAGGAACTCCTGAAGGTCTCGTGCTCAGAGCAGCTGTAGGCACTCAGATCAGGGGATTACAAGAAATTCAGGATCTGGGGTCTCACTGCTCCTAACATAACTAGCTGAAAGAAAGTGGAAGTCTCCCAAACTTGAATAAAATTTTGCAATAGCCTGTAAGTTCTTAGAAGCCTTGCCAATGTAAAGCATTGAATTTAATACACTGCATTTCATAGCAATAACAAGGCCAGAGATTTGTATGCTGTTTTATTGTATGCTACAGCCAGTGTATATAAAATAGTTAAACCTTGTGAAACAGAAATCCATGAAGATTCAGAGAGGTAGATGTTAAGGATTGAAAAGTAAAGACTGTATTATGGCACGTGTTAGAGAAGCTTCTGTACAGACTTCAGAATATCCACTGGTTCATGAAAAGTGGTTTAAGAAACCTGATGGAGAAAACAAAGATAATGTGTCAATAACTTTTAAAAGACATTTTTATCAGTAATACTTGGACAAGAACAGTTGTTTTCATTTTTGAAAATGGTTTATGCTCTGCCTGTTTCCCTGAGTAATAACATAGAGATGATGTTTTTCCACCTCACAATGGTGTAAGAGCAGCACATGCCGATACTTTGAGTCTTGCACTTTTCCTAGGCTACCAGGTTGTATCCGGTAACACTGTTCCTCTGAGTGGCTGTGCAGCAGCAGCTCCTCGGCCACATCTCTAGTCCACCCCAGGACCCCTCAACTATCAACAACCCTTGATGTACTTTTAGCTTACTGTGGCTGGCTGGTCCACACCCACCATGAGTCAACCCTGTTTCTAGGTGGCTCATTTGAATATGAGTTTATAAAGGGTTTTCTAATGAAATTGAGCCTAAGCCTGCTTTTCTTTTTACTTTTGAAGATGCAATCTACAAAGATGCTAAAACCCAACTTTTCCCTGGTTCTCAGACCTGGCACAATATCTATCATCCTGTTTTATGGCGTCGTACAGATCACACCACTAAGATTACTACTGAAATGTACTTTATCATAATAAAAAGGTAAACATAAAAACATTCAATGAGGAAAATCCTAGGATCCTTTGAAAAAAATGATTACTAAGATGCAGTCACAACAATACACAGAAAATATGCAAGGACACTGAACATGCGACTGTCACAGCAACAACCTTAATGCAGCCCGGGAGATGAATAGACAATCTACGTATGTAACAAAATACTACTTAGCAGCTTAAATGACTCAAAAATTCATACAGGATAAAACACAGATCAATATTGAAGCAACAGTTATATACTTTAAAACAGTCTTATCTTAAAACTATAAAATACAGTTAAATATATATATATATATATACACACACACACACACACAGGAGAAAAAACAGGTATAACAACTTCACAGTAAGTTATTATAGAAAGTAAAACATGTTTTTAAAAATAGGGTGTAAAAAAATTAAAAATTTGAGTACTTCATAACAAACACTGAAGAGGCACAAAACCTCTGGGGGAAAAAACAGAAGAAAACATTTAACTTCATTTGATAGCAAATTCAGCACACACCAAAAAAGAAAAAAAGTAAAAAAAAAAAGCACCCATGCACTGAGTGGAAGACCAAAGATGGGCAGTGATAATCAAATTTTATTAAAATTCCCAAGTCACTGTTTGGCAGTTTTACCTCTAAAGTTCACAGACAGCCACCAAAAACATCAGTCTTGGCCATGGCCTCAGACCTGGAAGCTGACAGCAGTGAAGTAAACAACGGATTACGGCCCAGCTGCTGAAAGCCCTGTGAAAATTTACTGAGATAAAAATTCTCTTAAGAGGATTTCTAATGGCCGTCTCATTTTGGCATTCTCTGCTGCTAAATTACTGAAGCTGGTTTTATTTTTATAAGCTGCGTATAGACTCCGATGATTTTACTATGTCTTTAATGTACTCTAGACCAACAACAAAGGTTGCAAAAGAAATGCAGGTTCTGGAACCTTCCCTTAGATCCACTGGGTTACAATATACACTTAGGAAGACAATCTGTAAATTTACTCAGGGTTTTAAGAAGCAGTGGTTTTTTATCTAAATATCCTTTCTTTACCCTAAACTGTTTCAAATCATAATATCCAAAGTTTCTTTTATTGCTGGAATTAACAGCCTTAATTTTATTTTGAAATCTGGGTTCTTATCCCAGTAATCTATAAATATAAGTCATTTAAACACTTTAGTGTGGACTCATAAACAAAAAAGCTACTAACAGGACTTCAGACTTAACACTTTATATTAGATGAAAGTAAATTAGTAAATATACAGGAGTTGAGTCTAAAAAAGAATCTCTAGTAAATCATAAAAATATGAAACTCCTATAGATCCCCACTGAATATTGCCAGAAGTCAGAAAATGCTAACACTGTTAAATGTGAAGACATGAGCTGGACTCAACAGGATCCCTCATGGAGAACCTGTTACCCAAAAGCAGCTCTATTCCCCTTCTCCTTGGTGTTTCAAAAAGCTTAGTCATCGTAACCAATCACTAGATTTACTGGAACAGTACTTACACTTCCTGAACACCCCCAAATCTACAAAGCCTATGTAACAGCTTCCTGGACTTTTTGAGTCAGAATGTTAGTGTAAGGGTGTGTACTACACACAAAGTAGTTTTTAAAACACATTCTAAGTTTCCTTCCCAATTCAATACTACTAACTAATGTATCAAAGATTACAAATGAAAGTATTCTTTAATTAATTGTAAATTAGCCAAAGCTGTTTTGGCCATATCTTTGGAACAACAGGTTTTTTCACACGTGGTATTTAATCTAGGACAGGAATATAAACTCTTGACAGATATACTAAATAGCAAATGATTTATTGTCTTAGTCCTCAAATCCAGTTCACTGCCAACCTACGTGCAAATCTCTTCTCTCGTGTTTTATCTTTGCTCAACAAATGAAAATAAAGGTAAAACCTATTCCTTATTCCCTATACCTCTGCCCTGTTTGCTTGAATTCAGCCACCCTGGCTGTCTTACACAGTTGATCCAAATCCACCAGAGCACCCAGAGTCATTGCTCTAAGTACTGTACATTTCGTTAAAACTTCAATTTGACAGGTAAATAAGCAAACTAGTATTTTAGGAGCTCCACATATGCATGCTTTTAGGGCCAGTACATACAAACACATGCCTGTGACCCCAGTGGAGTTTTCTGAGTCTCCCATACCTTTTTACGAGTTATTACATAGCCCTTTATGATAAAAATAGAAACCATTAGTCTTCTTGACTACTAGAAGTTTTCACTGACCTTCAAAACCAAAACTTGGGAAACAAAAATGCTGTCAATATTACAGATAAAGACCTTAATGTTTCTTCCTTTATGTGGAAAGGGCACGAATGAAGAAAACTCACCTCAAGATAGCTGACTACAAAAAGGAGCAGACTTTCTGGGGTCTGAAGGGATTTGTACTGGAAGACACTCCGGTCAGCAGAGGGTCATGTTGAGCATTCTGCAGACAGAACTGTTTCAAGTCTGCAGCTGCCTGGGAAACCTATAAATAACAATGAGCGGAGAAATGTCTGTTGGTAAGGTTTTAATGTATGGAAACACTTAAACAGCCCTTCAAAATCGACAGCTAACAGTTCTATACTGGCTTATACTTAAAACAGTAAATGAAACTGGTTTGTCCTATTTTTTCTACTTACCGTAAGCATCAAATGATTCAACACAAAGTATAATCCTACTTCTCTGTGAAGCACAGCATGTCTTGTTTTTACGACAGGCTGTTCAACAAGCCCTAACACCTTGGTTTGGGGAGCATAGGATTTGTTTTGTCTTTTGTAACCAAGGCTGGCCTCAAACTTTTTATGTAGCAAACAGCCTTGAATGTTTGAGCCTCTTGCCTATACCACCTGAGTGCTGGAATTAAAGGCCTGCCTCATCAAGCCCGGTTTATGCAATGCTGGGATCCAACTCAGGACTTTCTGTATTCACAGGGAAACACTAACAACTGAGTCTCCTGCCCAATAGCTTGTTTTTTTTTTTTTATTAAAAGTAGTATGTAGTATTAGTAGTTCAACAAAAAACTGAACATTATAAGGAAACTGTCTTGAAAGCAAACTGGAAATGCCCATGAATGAACCTGAGGTAACTAACACAGAACTCAGACAACCAAACACTTTATTATATTCTTCAAATTTATAGCCATCCATATATTGTCTTGCATTTACGAAAGACATGCATTCATTCAAGCATTTACCCTTATGCATATATTCTGCTTAGGAAATAGAGAGCATCAAAAACAACACTGAAATCCTATTTGAATTGCACATACACATGTACTAACTAACACTACCAAATCACATTTGAGCAAAAAAGTGTTTCTTAAAGACAGGCTACTCAGCAAGGTTGTCCAACTGGGCCTGAGTTTGATTTCCAGAACCCACATAAAGGTGGCAGGAGAGAAGAACCTCTGTAAGGTTGGTCTCTTACCTATCTCCCCAAATGCACCCATGCATACACAATTTCCTTTTTAAATTGGAGCTGTTAAATTAAGGTACACTTAGTTTTTCAAGTCACACGAAACAGGCAGAAGGTTGCCTGTGTCAGGTTTTATATCAGTTGAGTTCGAAGCCAGCCTGGCGACTTGGTGAAACCCTATCTCCAACTCGCTGACTGAAGACAGATACCAACACAACAAACAATGCTATACAGGCCATGCATGGTAGGAATGCACAAAACCATCTCATTCCCTTACTTACTTATCCTCAATCTTAGCGATCTCTAGGGTGATGACAACAAATGTCTGTTACCCTGATGTGTCCGGAAGAGTTAACTAATAGACAACTCTCAATCAAAAGCCCCTCAGATAACAGCTATGTTGTAAACTTATCCTGGGGTAAGTTTAAACTCAATTAAAATCTACATGTGTTTGGCTCATACAGCAATTCAGGACAGTAAGTCCCGTGTTCGTCTCTGAACACAAAAGGCTCCTGCCGTTTTTAAATGCTTATACAAACAGCAATACCCCGCTTTGCCCTTAAAAGTAGCTACTGTATGGAGGGTAAAGTACCAGTGTTCACAATGTTGCGCCATTTGGCTTTGTTCGCATCCATCAGAAAAGCCTAAGTGCTGCCTGTTCATTCCTTTCCAATGTTTTCAAGTACCATTGTGTGTGGAAACTACTTCTCGGCATGAGACTAACAGAGCAGTAAAGAGTGCTGAGATGAATGACATTTTAGCTGGGACGTCAATGGTAACAAACCTAGCTCAGTAGCGACAATGAAAAAACAGCACTCTAAACAGGAACCTTGAGAGTCAAATGGAAAAGCTGCTAGTGCCCAAGAGTAACAGTTAACATCCAGGAGGCTGCCGCTGTGATACCCTGTCCTACCTCTGTACAACAGTAAGTTCATGCTAGCTTTAAAACGCCACACACAGAAGTACCCAGCATAAGCATGGCATGGATGGTGTTAAATGGTACCTAATCTAATTTAGGAACCGAGGAAAAACTCATTTACAATTCCTGAGTGAGAACTCCAAAAATGTGTCTATTTGTGGTAGTTTAAATGATCCCACTCAGAAGCCTTCGGGAGAATTAAGATGCACAAGGCAAGATCGCTAGGAGGTGGCCCCAGAGCAGCTAGGCTTTTCAAGGAAAAGGAAGCTCTCCAGTCTGTGAGCTCATTTCTTTGGCCACCAGGGCTAAGGTTCACGGCTGTAATTACTGCATTCACCTGGCTTTCCCCCCTCCCCCACCCCACTATCTCTCCTTCCGGGCCTACTTTAGGATAGTTAATATATGTGCACGATGATAATCAATAGATTGCTTCAAATTTCAAAGTTCTATCTGGCCAACAGATAGTTCTGAGTAAGTCACTTGGATGAGGTGTGAATTTGATTAGGGAAATAGAGTCCAAACCAAGACACAGGGGCGTCTCCCTGACCTCCTAAGGTTACCACAAGGAAGTTAAGCAGTCTCTGGCATTTCTACTTGGGGAACCTACGTGCAAGTTCTCTCCACAAAGCACGGTGGAAATTAAGACTAGCCTGCCGAATATAAAATCAAATCACCTTGGGAACTGGCAGCTTCTAGCAGGGAGGTTTAAATTCTCGTTTTTTATACTCATGGGAAGTATTTCACACGTAACCCGACCTATTTCATGAGAAAGACGCCAATCTGTTTAGGATTTTAAAAGTAAGCAAACAGTCCTCACAACAGCGTTTGAATGCCTGGTTGTCTACCAACACGGACAGAAGGCCTTTCCCCAAAAGTCAACAGTCCAGGCCAAGGCAATCCTAACAGACGGCAAAGTTAGACCAGCCCAGGCCGGCGCTAATCAGTTGCTCGGGCCTGTGAAGCAGTACAGAGCCCAGCAAGGTCAGATCCGAGCAAACCGTGCCAGCCGGCTCGGGACACCTCTTTGTTCGAGGCTGGACTGAGCGAGGGTGGTGTCCTGAGGCTCCGGGACGTTCCGCAAACAGACTGGCTCACTAAGCCGTAGTCCGAAGCCACCAAGCAGCCTCGGAAGTGTCCAAGGGCCGAGCAGGGGCCGTGAGTTTGGTGAAGATCGGGGTGAGAAGTGGGACTCGAAAGTGAGTGGCGAGACTGGGTGTGCGAGGCCAGACTCGGAGGAAGGAAGGGCGGGCGGGCTCAGCCCCTCGCCGCAGCCTGGGCCGACAGAGCGCGAGTCGCCGCGAGTCCACCCGCGCTTCCCCGCCGGGGCCCACCACGCCCGCCCATCCACCCACGCTCGCCCACCTTCACGCGGTTGAGCCCGGCTTCTAGCCGGAGCTGCTGAACCACCTTCTTCATGGCGGCGACGCTAGAGGAACCCGACATGGCGCTCGCGACAGCCGTGCCGACTCGTCGGTCAGGGTGAGGGGCGGCAGGTCGCGGGGCGGGAGAGAGGGGGGCGGGGGGCGGGGCTCCGAACTTCGGCTAAGTTTCCGGTGCTGCGCGCGCCGCGCATGCGCGCCCCGCCCCCCGGGTGCCCCGCGGGCGCGAGCCGAGGAGAAGGGGCGGAGCGGCCGGTGGGCGCAGCGGCGACGGGGGCGGTGCGGCCCGACGCCCGGCCGGCGCCGTCCGCGTCTGGAGGGGCTGGTTCGGGTGAGGTGAGGAGGACGCTGGGTGCCGCGGCGGGAGAGTCGCCCGGGAGGTCCCGAGAGCCCGGTGGCGGAGGGGCGGACCTCGGTTTCCCTCACGGAGCCGGCGGCGGGGTGAGGGCAAGCACGGCCCCGGGACGCAGGCCGACGCGTCCCCGGGCTCAGCCTGGCACCGGGGGACCCGTCCAACGGGCGACCTCGAGGCCCCCCGGGCCGCGGGACTGGCCGCCCGCCACGCTTCCTCTTCCCGCGCTCTTCCAGGAATTAGTCCCGGTGCTTTTCAAATTAAAGCGTTTGCGTTTAGGGAACGTTTGCTCTACTGAGGTCGCCGTAATCGCTTACTTCGTGCTGGTAACTAAACCCCCAGAGGGCTTTTCAGGAGAAAACACTTAAGTTTTTAATTAGTTCAAGCTCCAGTGTTTCCCGCTGAGACCTGACGTCTCTAACAGGATTTTCGTCGTCAGTGCTGCTATCTCGGCCGACAAATCGCGTGACTGACCAGTTAAAACGCCCGCAGGGAGTTCGGCTTTTCACCCAGCTCTCAGTGAATGTGTAAGAGCTGTGGTTTGAGTTTGGTTCTACAGCTTGCCCAGGTACCCTAGCTAGCCCTTAAAACTGCCCAAGTTAGAAAGCTTCCTGCGGTGTTTGAGAATGAAACGAAATGACATTTTATATGTAAAGAATGTGAAAAGTGAGCCTGGAGAGAGCGGTTGAGGACAGGGCCTGAGTTCAGTTCCCAGCACCCGGGCTGCACCGCTCACGAGCCCCAGCCAGAATCCCAACTCCAGGGGTGCTGTAGCCCCCTTTCTAGATTCTGGGGACATCTGCATTCACAGATGCCCAGACCCACATTCATACCAATAATTTAAAAAGAAAATATTGTTTGAGACACTTGTCTAGCTCTGGCTAGCCTTAAACTCTTTGTAGACCAGGCACTGATCCGTCTGCAGCTGCCTTCCAAGTGCTGTGATTAAAGACACGTGCCACCGAAATAAATGAATGAACGACTATGAAAGGTAGCACAAATATTTTACCTCGTGCCTTGTTGCCTATATTGTATGCTGAAATCTCAAGGCCGATTCCTGAGATAAAACGTGTGTGACTTAAGGAATGCCCTACTTTAGTTACAGTAATAACTAAGAACTAAGGGATGTTAGTGCTGGAAGGCATTTCAAAGATCCCGCATAGCACACAGAGTACAAACTATTAAGTCGATGTGGAGGAATAAACAAAGTATTTCGTCTTGATCTCAGCAAGGTTTTTCTTCTTTCTCCAAACGAGTGAGTTAGGAAGCCACAGAGTGTGTTTCTGCCTCGAGCACCAGATGCTCTCCTAGTTTTTACAGTCTTGTCTAATAGGCACTGCATATTGGCTTAGGAAGGGAGGAGAAACGGAATCCCTGTCAAGTTCATTTGCATCTGAAGCTGTGAGCATTCGATGCAGTTCATGAATTATCGGCATCTAATAAAAGCTTGTTCTTTAATCTTCCACAGTGTTCTAAGATTACCATCTGTCTTCATTTTAGATTATTAAAAATAGACTTTGTTGTCTAAAGTAACAACACAAGAGATCCTATTAACAATAAATGGCAAGAAAACACAACCACACAACCTTGCTGTCTTGTGTTTTGTCAGCAGGACACTACCAATTTAAATTTACCTAACTTCCACACCTTACTCAACATTCGTTGGGTCTGAGTTCAATATTGAATAAGTAAAATACTTCCCAGATTCACGATCCTTTGTATTTTAACCAAAAACCAGGAGATCTCAAAATGAGTTTCCCAATGAGTTTATATTACTGTGGGATTCCACCATGTGGTGGTGAGCACTGTAGACGTTTGAGTTTACATACTGTACTTTATAGTAGTTTCAGAAATTGAAGTTTGGACAAAGTGAGCGATTTGCTTCTAGAAAAATTAAAGCTCAGGTTTCCTAGTTTTTATCCTATTATGTACAGGTAATGCATTTCTTCCCCATGGCTTTGCTCATATGTTGATATAATAGTTTTTATAATTGGATATGGAATTTATAAGGAAAAATTTTAGCCAGTAATAAGTTGGGTCATAAGACTTGTGTTTTTAGATTAATGTCTATGCATATTATCACCCATTTTTGCTCTAAAATGTTACATTTTTCCCTCTGCCTTCCTTCTGACCATGTTATGTTCACCTGGCACTGTGGGTTCTCTCCTAAATACACTCCAAGGCCTAAGTGCTAAAGCTTGATTGCCTGGAATCAATTGATTGGAAGTGGGGCCCTTAGGAAGGGAGGTAAGCATGCCTCCCTCCCTCATCTTATATCAAAGTGAGCAGCCCCTCCGTCTATGCTCCTGCCATGATGTATTGTACTGCCAGAGGCCCAGGTCAACAGGTCAAGGTTTCCTTCTTTAATTAGTATTACAATCTTAAACAGCCTAATGGTGTATAGGCTCTGGGGTGTCCTTGGGTGCTTTCTTTATTTAGCTAACACAAATTGTCTTTTTAGGAAGGTTAGAACTTTATTAGATTACCCATGGATGAGACAGAACAAAACTGTCAGAACAGAAATGGAACCTGAATTTATCCTGATGAGAAAGGCCTGTGTCATGAAGTATGCCCATCATGTGGCATAAGGTTGACCATATTCTGACTTACTTCCTGGATAAAGCATTTTCACATTTGAGTGAATTTAAGAACTGGAATGGGTCTGAAAGACCCCAAGTCACATTCTTGTCAGATTTAAGGCACTAAGATATAGACCGCAATGAATGGCCTTTTACACTATAGAGGACTAAACCTGCTTTTCTGGTGCCCAATCCATTTGATTGCTTTATGTGGAGTTCTGCTGTGTTTAAATATAGCCTGTGTCAAACTCCCAATTTTAGTTGTTAATTAAGATTTCTAGTTCACCGAGTATCTCTTCATATATGCTAGCATCAAGTTGATCATTTACTAAAAATTACTCAAATCCTTATTTTCTCTGAAGAATACCAGAAATTCTTAAAATTTGATTTTAGCTCTGCAACTGAGTCTCAGAGTTATTTTTAATGATCTTTGTAGTCTTTTTCTGCAAAGACCAGATGTGGCCTTGGGATACTTTTCAGTAACTATTTTTAGCAGGTTGTTCTGGGCACTCAAACCTAAGGGCCAGCACACATACTATGTAAGTGATCCTCCACTGCACTGCACCCAAGCTTAAACAACTCACCTTTAGACAAACTGGTAACCATTTATTGGAATTAGTATCCAAGATAAGGTTGTTTCTCCGTTCTTGGAAGAAAGGTTCTAAAGCAAAATTTTGTAGTACATGAGAGCTATTAGAACTCTGTAGTCATCTTTGCTCATCAAATCATCTTTTGCTTGAAATGTTGGCATTATGTTGTCATTAACTAATTATTATGAGTAAATAGTTTGAGAATCCCAAGTATTATGTTAGGATTGGTTAGTATCAACTCCAAATTCTAAGCATGCCTAAGTTTAATTTAAACTTAATATTAGTTGGTTTATTAACAGATTCAAGTTAATCAAGCATTGGGTTATTATTGAAAAGATGACATAGACAAGTCATGGAAATTGATTCTGTGTGAAAACCCCAAAACTGGAACTACCCCACACATAGGCCAAACTGGAAGAAAATCCAAGGCTCATGACCTCAGCAGCAAAATTTCTGGCCTTTATTGCTGATAAGTAGTTTCGGCTGTGTTCCTCCTCTGTTTGCCTGCTACAGGCAATTTGCTTAGTCTGTTTTTACCGTCTGTTTGGAAACCTCAGGAAACTACAGCTTTCTCATAGGATGAGCTTGTCTTGTGGCTGTGATAACTGCCTCATGGCTTCTTTCTCTATATTCAATTTGATTCCAAAGATTGTATAGCCCACAAAATATATTTTTTTAATTTTGATAATGTTAAAACAATTAGTGGTATTTCATAGAGCTGAGATAAGTACAAGGTCAGAAAAGTTTTGAACTTTATGACTTAAATTGCCACTTGGAGGTCAATGTAAAGCAATGCTTTGAGATACAAGAATGCTTTCGTTGTGCTAGTCTAAGGGTTGTTAAGTTGGTGTGTGCATCATCTAGGATTTACCAGCCTTGGAAATTTCTTTTTAGAATAATATTTCAACTACTCTGTTTTTTCAGTTTTTATTATATTTTTGATATATATTTAATTTATCATGCATTGTTATAAATTACCATAAATTCTATGAGGAAAACCACAGGAAATAATACAAAATAATACTTGATATATTTAAAGACTAGTATTTTTAACTAGAATGATTGCTTACATTTAATCTATGCCCTGAATGAAATGCATGAGAAAACAGGTTTTTTTTTTTGTTTTTTGTTTTTTTTCGAGACAGGGTTTCTCTGTGGTTTTGGAGGAGAAAACAGTTTTTATCATTCAATGACCATTGTTATAAATTCAGGCTTTCCCCTTGTAAAAATATATTTCTACATTATATATGTATTTAACCCAAATTTTGACCCATAAAAATGAATTGTTTGGTAAATAGTAAAACATGTTCTTGTCAGAAATCCATCCTAATGTAATTACTAGTTTATTATCCTGATGGGCATGAGGCTCCATTGTAATTTGAAAATAAAATGCATTTAATACAGTTAATTTTCTGAATTTTGTAGCTTAGCAAGAGTATTCACCTTTGTGATCCTTTAACTGGCAGAAGAGCTGTGGCTTACTGTTAATGCCCAGCATTCCAAGAAACTATCAAACCACATATTGGTAGCTTAAGAAAAGACAATTCTAACATTCAAGGACAGTATCACTTCCACACCATTATAAGTTGAGGAGGCTGTCTGTACAGAGTGTAAATTTTCTTAGAATAACTAGCCTACTTAGTGTATAATGTCTTTTTAAATGATAATAAGATTGTATACATTTCTAAGCTTATACTTTCTGTTTATATTAAAGCTTTTTTTTTTTTTTTTTACTGTTTGAACACATCAGAGACCAGAAATAGCTGGAATGCTATCTTAAACCAAAAATCTATTTAAATGCTTATTTAATGCTGCTTAAATGAAGAAAGATATATAAAAAATCCAAAACTCCACCTGGTAACTATCCTGTTGAGACACTGGTCAGTATGTCACTCAATCCAAGTCGACCTTCTTCATCAGAGGTAAGAAAACCATACCTATCACTGGTTTTGAAAAAAAAACAAAAGCTGTGAATGACATAAAATATTAGATGCTGATTCTACTAGGACCCCAACTTCCCATATAACATTATCAGATTATATGATTATGCTACTTACATCTGTAACTCACTCCTCTGTTATGACGTGCAATGAATTGATCTTACCACCCTTTTTACTGTTTTTAAACTGGTGATGCCCAGACTCGGCTTAACTTTATAGGGCATAGGATCACTCTGGCTCATGCTTCTGACCACTTGTCATCTCTTGCTTTGTTGTACTTCTTTGATAAACAAAACCCTAATGTGTTGAATGAGATTTCTGTCCTTCCCAGTCCCGTAGCCATTCAATTCCAAAGAAACACACAGAGGTCTATATAAATCATAAACTGGTTGGCCTGTTAGCTCAGGCTTCTTCCTTCATTAACCCATAATTCTTGTCTGTGTCAGCCACATGTCTTGGTACCTTTTATCAATGAGGCATTCTCATCTTGCTTCCTCTGCGTCTGGGTTACTATTGCAGACTGAACCTTTCCTCTTCCCAGAATTCTCCTGTCCTGATCACTCTGCCTATACTTCCTGCCTGGCTACTGGCCAATCAGCAGTTTATTAAACCAATACAACTGACAAATCTTTACAGAGTACAGGACCATTGTCCCACAGCACTAATGAATACATTTCCTCCCCATTCTTCCTAAAGACTTGAGGAAGAATATATAAGTATAAGGACCATTTCACTTTAAATCCCTGACCATGAGTCTGAAGTGGAATCTTACACTGGAAGGCATTCATGCTGTGTGTCACTCGTTGACTTAATGTACAAGTTTTTTTTTTTACCTCCTTAAGCTGCTAAGAATTTCTTGTTCTTTCTTGATCTAATCCAATCATATTTCCATTTTTCACAAACCTGCTCTTATTAAATTCACCTCTTCAACATGAAATTTATTAGCTAATTCTTCTAAACATACTTGATCTGATTGATTACAAAAGCTGACACCATTGCTTCTCTTCCTTGATAGAATTCCTTCACATTGCTTCTTTCATTTTGTTTTGTTTTTAGAGACAGGGTTCCTTTGTGTACCCTTGGTTGCCATGGAACTAGCCCTGCAGACCAGGGTGTCCTCGAATACACAAAGATCTGCCTGCCTCTGCCTTCTGAGTGCTGGGATTAAAGGTGTGCACCACCACCATCCAGCTCCCATTGCTCTTTTTTTTTTTTTTTTTTTTTTTTGGTTTTTCGAGACAGGGTTTCTCTGTGGTTTTGGAGCCTGTCCTGGAACTAGCTCTTGTACACCAGGCTGGTCTCGAACTCACAGAGATCTGCCTGCCTCTGCCTCCCGAGTGCTGGGATCCCATTGCTTCTTGAATAAATATTATCTTGGATTTATTTTTCCTGTCCATGGTTGTGCATTCTATCTTCTTTGTTGGATCTTCCTCTTCCAATATCTCTGTAGTGTATTATTCTCTCTGCTCATGATGGGTGATAGTCTCATCTAGCCTAATAAATCTTCATGCCAACTTTATACAGGTTTCATGTGTATCTCCATCTTTGTCCTCCTGTACAAACTCCAGATCATATATACATCTATTTAGCTGACTATTTGACATTGATGTTTGGATGATCAATGAGCATCTAACAGCATATCTGAAGCTGATTCTTAACTCTGTCCCTTTTCTCCGATGATGGCAGATCTGTTTATTTTCTCACTGATGCAAATGTTTTTAGCTCATACTTGATTATTCTTGCACACTTGACTTTTCTTGACTTCTAATGCTGGGATCATAGGTGTGTTCTATTGTACCTAGCTTCTAATATGTGAATCTTGATTGCATTCTTGACTAAAAATCATTGAGGAAAATTTCACAATTTATACTCTGAATATAGATCACATGCTAGTTGTTATTAATAAATGACTAAATGTTTAATGTGAAAATAGAAATATTAGAGAAGGCCTTTTTTATATTTAAATTTATTTATTTATTAAGGATTTCTGCCTCCTCCCCACCACCGCCTCCCATTTCCCTCCCCCTCCCCCGATTAAGTCCCCTTCCTTCATCTGCTCGAAGAGCAATCAGGGTTCCCTGCCCTGTGGGAAGTCCAAGGACCACCCACCTCCATCCAGGTCTAGTAAGGTGAACATCCAAACTGCCTAGGCTCCCCCAAAGCCAGTACGTGCAGTAGGATCAAAAACCCACTGCCATTGTTCTTGAGTTCTCAGTATTCCTCATTGTCCGCTATGTATCCCAAAATATTAGGGATATTTTGATATAAAATCATGGTATCAATTTTACTTTATTCTGTCAAGAAAGACAAGAGAGTGCCAGACATGGTGGTGAATGCTGATAATCCCAACACTTGGGAGACAGAGGCAGGAGGACCAAGAGTTAAATTCTCTCTTGACCTATACAGAGAATTCATGGATAGCATAGGCTATAAAAGATCCTAAAAAAGGAAAAAGGCATAGCAGAATGTTAAAACTTTTGTGTAAATTGTAGATATTTAAACATTCATAATTTTGTATATATATTTCATACAAAAGAAAAGTAATGAAGTGTGTCACGTCTTCAACTTGTATTAAAACTGCATTCCCTTCCTCCTTCAAGGCTCTCCCTTTTATCACCTGTTTGCTTTATTCCTCTTCAAGTTTGTTTCCACTTTGAGGTCTTTGCTTTAGCTCTTCCTAGAACTCTGTCTCTAGGTGTTCACTTGACTGTTTCAGTTTTTCCCTTAAGTCTTTATTCAGACTTCATTCCACATCTGCAACACTAACTGTTCTATTTAAAACTCAGTTTCTCCATGTCTTTATCTTCCCATTTTCCTAAATCTGATCTCATTATATTTCCTAGTAAATAATCCTATCTAAGAGAGTCTGTAACCTGTTTTATGCTTCTTAACGAAGAGTATCTAATATCACATGGGCCCAAGATTAGTCGGCAAATGAGGCACCTTGTCTGGGTACAGAATTTAAGGGAATAGCAAAGTGTGTGTGTGTGTGTGTGTGTGCGCGCGCGCGCATATGTACCATGAGCTCTCAGAGCCAAGAGGGCAAAAATTGGACCACTTAAAACAGGAATTACAGGCAGTGTGAATGCTGGGAACCAAACTTGGATCCTCTGCAAGAGCAGCAAGTGCACTTAACTGCAGTCCTGTCTCTCTAGCTTCTTATTCAAACTTTTACAGTTTCCATATATTTACTGTTGCAGTTAAGAGTATAATTCGTTAAGTCCTTTGAATTTTAATGTACAGTGAATATCAACTTTTCCTAAAGAGACCCTGCTATTATTATTGTTTTTGTTGTAGTAATCTAAATATTTTAAATGGGATACTGATTTGAGACATAAAATATGTCATTAAGTTTTTCTTTCTTTAATAGTTTGGTACAAGCATAAACAGGCTAAGCTAACAGTTAAGCCCCATATCAAGAATAGATTCTTCCTAGAACTGTAGGGAGCAAACATACTTCCCAACCACAGTATTTGCTTTTAGGCTGCCACTGGGAAGCTACACTCCCCAAAACTGTATAAAGGCAGACAACATACAAAGGATAAGGATGCCACGAAGTCACTTTAAAGGAGTTGAGAATGTAGGGTGGAGGTGAGGGGTAAAAGTTTGCAATAAGAAAACACCATCTCCATTTCTGGCTTATGATCGGGGTTTGGGGAAAAGGCCATGAAGTGGGAAAAAAGAAACCTCTGAAGATGTCGGCCAAGAGATGGATGAGGAAGACCAGGCTCTGAAGCAGAGTCAAAGAGGAAGAAACTTGAGGAGCTAAAAGTCTAGGCTCCTGAGAAGGGCTCTTGACTAGAGATGAAATTAAGAAGTCTGGCAAAAGTAAGCTATCTGTGTACCAAACATCTAGATTCCTTGCTATAACATCCTTTGCCACTTAAAGCCACTTAAAGAATGAAGTGTTATCCTGGAGCCTGTTGTACATTGTAATAAACTTGTGAAAAGGAAGGAAGGGAAGGAGGAAGGAAAGACGAAAGAAAGGAAAACATACTATCTAATATTGTTACTGAATGCCACAAGAAGAATGTCATTTGTCAAAGTGTTGAGTAAGGTGTGAACCAACAGGTATCATCATTTCAAAGGAAAATGTGCACCAAGTGTCAAATGGTCAACTTAACAAATTTTTGTTTTGTCACTTGTTCAGATGAGTAAATACATTCTATATTTCAATTGTGTTTATCTAATTTAAAAATTTATGTTAATAAGTTGGTTGTTTCTCCATTTCAGAAAATTTTTAACTGATATCTTTCTTCTTCAGCTGGTGGAACTTCATGTTTTTTATGTCCCTGAAGGATCGTGGAACTATAAATTAAATACTATTTCAATAGAAGTTATTAACAAGTTTATTTCTGCTGGATTTATAAGGCAAGTATTTTGAGGCCATGAAACAAATTATCTGGAAAAGAGAATTTCTGAAAATTGAAAATCTTCTAAGTGAAAAATATCTTGCTGATTTAATGGATCCATCTCTAGTTCAATAAATAGTACTGTGTAATGCTAGTGATAGGATCGGGTAGAGTAGAGTAATGAATGAGGTACCAGGTTTTGTAGTCACTAGTAGTGCAGTAAATATATAAGCTTTGCATCAATCATTGCTATAGCAACAGACATCACCTGGGCATATTACTGCTACTACCCAAAAAAACAATGTGTAACCTCTTTATTACTAAGATTATACACAAAAATAATGAACAGAAATGATCTAAAATTCAAAACCAGTTGAACTGTGAACAGTAGTTAAAGCAATGTGTTGACAAGGTCTTTATAATTGTTTAAAGCAATAAAACTGCAGGTATGTATGTGTATATGTGCATTTTTACATTCAGACAGACATGACACTATGTGATCTGGCTCTTTGTTTTCCCCTTGAGGGTATCTCACCTCCTAAAATTTCCCATCACTTTTCCCAGTCACGTTGATTTCCTTTCTTTTCTAAAACACATTGCATATAGTCATTATATACAGTCAGTCCTGAGCTGCTGAGATTGCTCAACAACTAAAAGTACTTAACACACGACTAAGTTCAATTCACATAAAGGGGAAAGGAGAAAACCAATACCACAAAGTTGTCCTCTGATGTCGACACACAGTGTACATCCATACACCATAATAATACTTTTGGAAAAAAGCATATAAATTTCATAACAAAATTGTGTTTTAATCATAAAACGTGGTTGTAGATTAGAAAAACAAACATTTTCTTTCAATACAAAAAGGGTTTTTGTAATCCATATTCATTTGTAACCATTTTGTTTTGTTTTTCGAGACAGTGTTTCTCCGTGTAGCCCTGACATTCCTGGAACTCTCACTGTAGACCAAACTGGTCTTGAACTTACAGAGATCCTTCCTGCCTCTGCCTCCCAAGTCCTGGGATTTAAGGCGTGCACAACCACTGCCTGTCTATTTGTACAAATTTAAAAGACAGGTTTTTAATCATTTGTTTTGAAAAATACTTACGGGAAACCTAACATTCCAGGCAGTGTTGAAACATAAGACATAAAATTATGTTTAATGCATTAAATTAGTATTTTCATTTAAGTTAACTAAACCTGTTGATTGATTAATACATTCAAAATCTATTTAAAACAATGTCATGATATTTCAGAGTATCTCCTGAACTTACTTTACAAGCTCTGAGGGAGCGCCTTGGTGAGTTTCTCGGTGTAGATGCTGTTGCAGAAAAATTTTTATTTCTGAAATGCATTGGAAATAATTTAGCTGTGGTAAGTTTTCTTGCTTTTTTTTCCTTCCAAGTAAAGTCTATATTATCAAATTACATTTTTTCAAAATGTTTATAAAGTAAGTTCCTTCACCTGTGAGATAATTTGGCTCAGATTCTAAAATGTTTATAATATTTTATTTTAAACAGTTATTTATTAGCATTTTCCCGCATATAAGATAAATATGGAGCCTGCCCTTACAATGCACTCAGTGTAGTGGTCAAAGTAAATGAGGTAATTTGAATAAATCAAGTGTCGTATTTTGTGTGTGAAGAAAAAGAGATTCTCCAGCAGAAGAAGCGGGTAGGTAAGGGACATGGAGGAAGAAATGATACTCGGGCTTGGATCTTGAAAGGTAATATCTGATCTTGAAAAGAATGAAGGGTGAGAAACAATTTCTGAGCAGAGAAAGGAGAATGATCAGAGGAGTGGAAAATCAACAATCGAGAAGGTGATGGTTGTCTTCTGTTGTATCAGCCGTGTCAGAAAGTGGGGTTGGGAGAGCAGAGGGCCAGCTATAAAGTACACTTCTAAAGGTCTTGAATGCCACATGAATATTTCATGATTTTTTTCTGAATCCTTGGAGTTTTTGAGCAAATGAGTAGCATGATTAAATACTTTAATTAAAATTATTTTACCTTCATTGAGAAGTAGGAAGACATTGTGGGCACAAATTGTAACCAGCTATTTGATCTGAGCAAGTTATTTAATCTTCATACCTTTGTATCCCTGTCTGTAAATTAGAGATGCTGTTCATATCTGTCTTATGAAATTGCAAAGCTTAACTGTGCTAATTTATGTACTCCACACAGAATAGTGCCACGAACACACTGACTCCCATTGAAATGATTACCATACTTATTATTAAAGGTCATAGAATTTCGGTTATGTTTCGTTCAGGATTCTATGTTCTATATAATCTCACCATAGTTACTTTAATATTGATATGTGGTTGTATGTCTTCCATAGAAAAGCACAGAAAACTAATTGAAAATTATTATCAAAGATGTAACCTTTTCTTATGTATTTAAATCTAGGTAAAGGAAAGGCAAGAATCAGAACTGAAACTCAAAGCATTTGCTCCTCCATATGTATGTACTATGATCTGAAACTTAACTAATTTTAAAACTGAAAGTGGATTTGGTTGTTTTTGACTTTTTAAAAAATTTCCTGTGTTTTAGGCTCTTCAGCCAGAATTATATTTGCTTCCTGTAATAGACCACTTAGGAAATGTTTATTCAGCATCTTCACCAGTTACTTTAGATGAACGTCAGAGTAATAATGATACCACAGAGATTAATGGAATAATCCACAGACCAGATAGTACAACTTTATCAAAGGATGAACCTGGAGATCCAACTTTGTTGGAAAATATTTGGAACGACTTTACAAATCAAGAAGAAGGTGATTTCAACTAAAATGGGGAAAGCAGAGTTTCTTATATATAGAAATTGAGCAGTCAAGCCTATATGCAAATTTTGAGCAAATCTAATTTTACAAGTAGAAGGAAGATACAAGGGAAGCTGTAGTTCAATTGGAACTTAAAAATGTACAGGTGGGAAAGGAAAACAATTGAAATACTCTGTTAAAGATGAAATACGGGAGGAAGCCCAGACTTGCAAACATAAGGGCTGGCATTCAGCACACAGAGCACTCATTAAGACAAACAAAAGCTGGGCATGACAGTGTGTACCTGGACCCCAGCATTGAGAAGGCAGAGACAGGTAGAGCCTTGGGATTTATTAGTCTACCTAGACTGGCCTACTTGGTGAGCTCTAAGCCAGGGAGAGACCCTATCTTTAAAACACAATGGTGGAACCTGGAGAGTTGACTCAAAGGTTAAATCATTTAGTGTCTTGCTGAGGACCCGAGTTTGGTTCCTAGCATCCACATCAGGCTGATCACAAATGTTTTTAACTACATCCCAGGAGATCTGATACCGTCTTCTGGCACCTGGGCTCACAAACACACATAATTAAAAAAATACTAATTAAAAAATTAAAAAGTAAATAATTCGAAAAACCAAAAAAAAGTAAATTTTTAAATTCACACTCAAAAGTAGATGACACCTGAAGAAGGACACCTAAGATTGACTTCTTGTTTCTATGTGTTCATGCCTACACACACCCATACACATTACACACCTACACACACACAGTCATACACATATAAAGGGGCAGATAAGCTTACATAAATTTGTTTAGAAAAATGTCAGTTGATCATATTCATCGTATTTCGTGGGCTAAAAAGATGTGCAAGGAAAAATGGTTGTACCAAATGTGAGGTACATCTCCCCCAAACTAATGAAAGCATCCATTGCAACTGCAGGATTTTGTTTCCTAAGTATACTGCCGTCTCAGTTTATTCTACATCAGATATTCCAAACATCACTTTCTTTAATATTTCCTGTGTTAATATTTAGTGTTAGTTGATGCCAATAGGATACTGAGTGAGAATCTTCATATTGGCATAGCTCTGCTTTTCATTCATGATAATCACCTAAGCACTAAGGGGAAAATTTGAAAGCATTCACAATAAAATCCAGAGTTTTTGAGTGATACAAAGTAGAGTGGCTAATGAAGATGTGATTACTGTATCAAATTTTGACTCTGTCATATTTCACACTACATGAATTATGATAACTGCATACAACTTTTTAAAACTTGTTGGGAACGTTAAATTACACAAATTCATCAAAATATGGTTATTTTGTATTTTACATTTATTCATGTGTCTCTGTGTGTGGAGGTCAGAGAACAACTTGTGGGAATGGTATCTCTCCTTCTACCGTTCTGGGTCCCAGGATTTAGTCGTAAGACTTGATGAGTGCCTCTACCAGCTAGCCCATCTTCCAGCCTACAGATGTGGTTCTTAAATGGGGTTAATTTTTGGTGCAAAGCAAAACAAAGCCCCTAAAATTCAGATGAGATGCTGTAATGCATGCTTGTTCTTAAAAGTTCCATAAACTGCAGTGTGTATCAAGAATAAAGGTTAATAATGATTCTACTACTCAGAAGTAACTTGTCACAATTTTGATATATGTGTTCCAAATATTGTTGATATTATAGTTTGAATATAAAATGTTTTTGTAAGACCATGTATTTGAAGATTTTGACCCCAAATGCTGCTATAGCCAGGATTTTCAGGGAGTCTCTCCCAATCAAATCTCATCTCAATCAACCTTGAGTAAGTCTATAGCCTTTCTGACTTCCATCTAAAATTAAGGCTTTCCTAAATTATCTAGTCTGGTTTAATTCAGCAGTCCCTTTCCACAATCCTTTGTCTCCTGACAGCTGTCATTCTCTGTTCATTAGGATTCAAAGTTTAAAATTAACACCATACATAAAATCTCTGTATGTTTTTTCATCTTTATATGACTTATCCTATTTATATTATTTTACTCCCCCTTTAAAGACTATCTTTTTGTAAACCATTTATTTTTTTCTGTCTATATAGATATATCTATCTGTCCATACCCATTTTCTTTTCTAGTAAGCCTATGCTCAGTTTTTAAACACATTGTAACCTGTTTAGAGATTTTTTTCCTGTCTGATCTGTCTTTCCTGGGCATCTGCAGCCTTCTCTGATCGTGAAACAAATGTTAAGCTGCTGTGTCAGCCTCCAGCCTAGCTCAGCTTTGCACATTGCACTGGCAGCTGGCTCCAGCTCTCAGGCACCAGTCTACCTGAGGTACTTCAGGACTAGGAAATTGCATCTGGATCCTTGTGTAGATCTTTTCTTGGTTTCTCAGCCCCTGTGTTTGGATATGCAAGCCCCCACAGTGGACGCCATTTGTAAACAGATTTCTCTTTGGTCCACCAGCTTACAAAATTGTCACAAAGCATTATTATGACAACTTGGCCTTAGCTTAGACTTGTTTCTAAATAGTTCTTATAACTTAAATTAATTCATATTTTTAAATCTACATTCTTATACATGCTTGTTGCCTCATCTCCATTATGCCCATCCTGGGTATACTGCCTCTGGTTGGTGACTCTGCCGCCTTCTTCCCAGTGTCCTCTCTGCCCCGAAATCCTGCCTAGTTATTTGTCATCCATTCAGCTTTTTATTGAACCAATCAGAGTAGCATATCTTCACAGTGTACAAAAAAGATTATTCCACAACAGGACCTAGCGAACAAACATAAGACCATTGATGCAACAGGGTTGTAGGGCAGCTCCACTGCTCCCACACGCTCTTGGTTTCCTGGACATTTTCATGTGACAAGCACCTGCCACCAGAACCACAAGCCTCCTCTATAACCTTGAACACCACCATGCCTTCCCAACCAAGAACTGTGTATCTTACTGTTTATTCATTTAGAATTTTTTGCCAATAAAATGGGTGTTAGTAATAGCAATCCACAGTTTGGTGCTTAGTCAGATATATTTTTGAGACTTTTCAAGCTGTATATTTTGATTCGTCCATCCTATTTTGGTTTGTAATATAGCTGTTTATTGGTGTAGCAATAAATTTTCAAGAAGAATCATTTGTCATTTTTACTGATTGTTTAGGTTAATATAGAAAAAAATTTCTTGAAAATATTCTATTAGTCTATTTTGTGTAGAAGAGACGACCTAAGATCATTTCCTTCCTTATTATTCACCCTATTCAGTCTCCCAAATGTGAATCATCCTCACTGGAAAATGCCTGGTGAAGAACATGCAAAGGGTATGGTCGACAGGTTTATTAAAAAGGGAGAAACAGAGATGTGGACATCCCTAATCTGAAATTTGACGTTCAGTGCTCCAAAATCAAAATACCCCAAATTCTGAAACTTTTTAAATGCTGACATGAATACCTTCAGAATGCTTCCTTCATATAACCATGATGTGGGTAGAATTTTCAGGATTTAGTTAATGGTGATGTGTTGAAGTATTTAATACCATTGTAGTATGAGGAGAGAGGTTAGAAATGTACTGTGAACTTATCTTTCTGGAGAGATAGGGAAGGATTGAACTCAGTGAGCAGTGGAGTCACCTGGGGTATTGACAGGGTTGCAGTTCCACTCTAGAAACACAGTTTAAGTAACAAGAAGAAAAGACATGGGCACTAAAGACCTGATCTAGGGAAATGACAGTTGGGATTGAAATAAGATCTTGAAGTCAGGGACTTCTAAGGCTTAAGACAGCGTGCTTCAGCACTAAGCCACTTTCAAGAGGAGGAAAGAATGATGTCATACCTGCTATGTTAATGCCAGGACCTGAGCGTGGTTTTGTTAAACGCCCATGTTTATACACTGGACTAGAGGCATATTGAATTTTCTTTATTGATTTAAAATGTTATAAGTATTATTAGTACTCTGTACTGTCAAATGCCTTTTCTTTGCCTAAATTTCTCTTACCTTTGTCACAAGCAAACACAGTTGCATAGATATTACATGTTGCCCTACTTTTTATTGATGGTAGAAATGACAAATATGTGTCTTATATTCCTACCAAAATGGACCTACAAATCTACTAGGTTTTGCATTGTCATTTCTTTTCTGGGGGTAGCAGGGTGGTGTTTCACTATTACTTTTAAGCAGCTATTATATCCAGTTTTTATTCATTTAACATTAATTAGATCATTTTGAAAATTCCCATTTGCTTGACTTTGTCAATATCAACTGGGAATGTGGTAGCTAAATTTAAAGTGATTTAGCTTCAAGCTGAAAAAAAAATGCTTTCTTTATGTGTTTTGGGTTTTGCCTTCATGTTTTTGTCTGTGCACCACATTCATGCAGTGTCCAAAGAGGACAGTAGAGGACATTGGATCCCCTAGGATAAGAATTGCAGGTAGTTGTAAGCCACCATGTGGATGCTGGGAGTCAGACCCAGATCCTCTGGAAGAGCAGTCCATGAACCATCTCTCCAGCCCTCACAAAATAATTTGACAAGCTTTGTAAAGTTACTTTTAAAATGTTAATTTGGCTCACTATTTTTAAATAAATTTTTAGATATTGGTTTCAGGGGGAAATAATCTGCAATGGTCTACATTATCAGTTAGGCCCGTGGATCTTTACAAATAGAGATTTATAAATAGTCTTCACTAATAAAGGTATATTTGAAAAATTATTGTTCTTTAAATTTTTTAAAGATTCATTTTTTAAAAATTATTTTCTGTGTATGGATGTATTGCCTGAATCAGTGTCTGTGCACCATACATATGCCACTGCCTCGCAGGCCAGAGGAGGATATCAGGTCCGATGGAGGCTGTTAGCTACTGTGTGGGTGCTGGGAATTGAACTTGGGTGTTCTGGAAGAGTAGTCAATGTTATTTAGCTGCTGAACCATCTCTCCATCCCTTAGAATTCTATTTTTAAAAGGGAGATTTTACAAGTGAAAGTATATGTAAAAGTTTCCTTCTGTTTTCATACCAGCATTTTCTTTAGTGGATTTCTCAGATTATTTAAAAAAAATATCTTTAGACAAAAGGTTTTATGAGGACTTAAGTCTGATAAAGCCGAATTTATTTCCTCTTTCAGATTTATGTTGCACATAAAGAAATAATGCAATAGCAAGTGTGCACATGTAGGTGTTTTTTGTTGATGAGGGTGGGGGATCAGTTGAGTTCACTAGAGAATCTTATTCATATGAACTAATATTTTGTGAAACTTATTCTGGAAAATATGCATTTGTATTTGCAAAGTTTGTGACATAAGATTATAAGATACACATATGAAAACAATGCTTATTTTACTATATTATTACTATATAATGCTTATTATACTTATATTTACTAATAATTGTGCTTTATTTGCCATTCATGACCATAAACATCAGCTGAGGAAAGCCAGACTACACAAAACCACCATGGAAGTTCTGAGGTGCCAGGATCATTGGAAGAGTCAAATGATTGTTTGGGAAACCTAAAAAGGTAATTGGTATAAATGGTAATTACACATACCCTAATCTGGAGTATAAGGAAAAGAATGTATTTATTTATACAACATTTAGATTACAGTCTTTTCAAATAAAGCAACAATTGTAGAAGCAAAATCATTTTATTTACAAAAGAATTATGTTTCTAAAACTTTTAATTATTTTTGGATCTTTTTTTTATTTTCCGAGAAAATTATTTTTAACCCTACCATAATGGATCCATAGAGATGTCTCATTTTACTACTCATTTTAAATATAACTTATGTTGATTATTAATGAGTTTGAAGTAAAATAGATAGCCCAGCATCAGTATGAGTCTTTTTTTTTTTTTTTTTTTAAGAGGTGTGGGGTTGCACTCTGATGCCCAGGCTGGTCCTAAGCTCCGAGGCTCAAGCAGTCTTCTGCTTTATCCATGAAAAAAGTTAGGAAAACTGATATAAGCCACCCATCTGGCTTTGAGGTTAACTTTAAACATTTTCAAAGTTATGTTTGTATTTATATAGCATCACTCATGTATGAACATGTAGGTTCTAATACTCATGGAATAAAGTTTTAATGACTTTCAAATCTTATTCTCTTTTAAGTCCATATCTTTGGAAAGATGATGATGATAATACAGCTATCAATAGATGGCAGGCCAAACCGGTATGCTATTAAAATTTTTACCTAAATGTAGCATTGCAACATACTAATAATACAGAAATTAAAATTTTAGCTATATCTTAAATACCCACTTTTATTTATAATTCCATAGATATGTTGTAATATCAGTAATATCTCTAGTGGTTCAATTTTTATTTCTGCTTTGGTGAAGAAATAATATGCCTAAGTAAGTGAGATGAAAATGTTATCCACAATAGCTTTTTAGATCATTTTTTAAAAATGCTTTCATTATTTTTAAGGTACTTTAACCTTTAATTGGTGGTTTTATTAGATAATTTGTAATTGAATACACTGATAGGTGTATTTCATTAACGCAGCTTTTAGATCAGATTTCTTGCATGTGTTGAAAGAATAGATAGTAGTGGTTGATGTTATTATCAGTTCTCAGTTACTAGCAGTGTGGCTTTGGATCTGCTGTTTCATGTGTCTCGGAACAGTCTAAAAGACCTAATGGACAATATTTATATTGCCAGTTTATTCTGAAGAAGTGAAAACATGGAGAGAATTTTGTAAATGTCTGCAGCATGAATTAGGATGCTATTAAGATGCAAGTAATACTAGATTTATCACCAGGGATTATTCTAAGGATTTTAAAAATATCAATTCGTTTGATTCCATTTCCCCTGCAAACAACACCAAATCTTATGAGGTAGATATGATTATAAATATTGAGTGCTGACTTAATTGGATTGAAATATGGCTAGGAACTAGTAAGGCTCATTTCTGACTGTGTCTATGATGGTGTTTCCAGAGAGATAGTGGTGAAGATCCTAAATGGAGACACCACCCTCCAGCACGCTGGGGAGCTGTACAGAATACAAGGAGAGGAAGGAAGAAGTCTATTGGTAGACATTCTTGTTCTGGTGCCTGGCTACTCTGAGGTAGTTTTCTGGATCACACAGTCATGTGGCCATGTGTCTGCCTCATCACAGACACATCAATACTAGAGAAAACCAGCTGTGGACTGAGATCACTGAAACTAGAGCTGAAATAAACCTTTCCTTCCGCAGCCATTGTCAAATACAGGCATTTTCAGTAGCTGAGCAGCTGTTTTCTACTAACTTAATGGAACTCTCATCTTGGCCATTAGCCTCCAGGAAACAGCTCTTCTTTCAAAACACTTCCCTTAACTGCCTGCTCGTGATAGCCATCTCCAGTCTTGTGTTTTCAGTTTCTTGCTTTTGGACCCACTCATTCAAAGTGCTATGATCTACCAAACATCGCTCTTGGTGGAGTCCTTCCGCTCTAGAATGGAGCAGAGTTGACATTTCTGTGCTGTCTATATATGTGCTCTGTTATAGAAAGTGTGCGTCCAACTTTGCTTAATTGTGAGCTCCTGGCTACACTCTGGGGTAGAGTTCCTATTTCCACACTTGCATGTAAAATGCAGGATTCTGTGACCTTATGCTGTCATCATAGCATGGCAAGACTTGAGTTATCAAGAACAGGTAAAAATAAGAAAATTAAGGCAAGAATTGGCAAGATGGTTCGGCAGGTTAAGGAATTTAACACAAAGCTTGATGACACCAGGACCAACTTGATGGAAGGAGAGAAGTGAGTCCTGCAAGTTGTCCTCTAAACCCCCACCAGGTATACACCAGATACAAAAACAACTATATACATACAAAAGGAGGAGGAGGGAGGGAGGAAAAGTTGAGGAACTTTAAATATAAGCAGAGAAGGTAGGGCTTGTAAGAATAAGATAGATACAAAACAATATGCTAACATTTTGAAAATGTGGTAGACTCATCTCATCAATTTTTTTGGCAAGTATAAATTATCAGAATTGACAGGGAGAAAAAAGTCAATGACCATCTTAAAACTTTAAGAAGCTATTATATTGAGTGAATAAGATCAGAAATCTTAAACAGAAATCACACTTAGAAAGATAATGAAGTTTTAAAGCCTTTGCTTATACTGTCTTCATAAAATGTCCAAGCCATAGTGAAATGCAGAGACGAGAGATGAGAAATAATCTCTAGCTGCAAATGTAGTATTGGGGTTCACCACTACGTAATAAAACATTGTCAGTGTGCTTTAGCACACACCGTGGACAGACTACAGAATGCTTCACATTGTCAGTTTTGCTCATTCTCCTGCTTGCTTTCAGGTGCGTGACAAGGAGCACATCACCCTACCAGATCTTATTGATTTCCCTTCATTTCCTTCTCAGCGAGTTTCTTCAAGATTAACAGATTCCTCTTTGTTAAAAATCGAGAGTAAGTATTTGTAACACCATAAGTACGAATATCTGTGTGAGGCACAGTTAATTGTGTTAATGAAGATTTATAATTTAATGGCCAAAAAGTTTGCATTTATGAATCTTTTAAACTTATGGAGATAGGTGGTGGGAATGGTTATAAAACATTGTAAGAATGGTAATGCCACTTAACTGTACACTGAAAATAGTTAAATGGCAAATTTTGTTATAAATATTGTACTATATATTATATATTATAAATCATATTAATTTTATGTTGACTACACTGTATATTTAGTCACTAATATTTCAATCTCAAATATGCATTTTCTGTATAAGATATAAATAAGCACAGTAACTTTGGGCCCGAAATAAATTTGCCAAAAATAGGAAAAAAAAAATAAAAGGATAACTTAATCTGACTTTCTAGTTTCACACATCTTTGTAAATGCAGAAGAAATATACTATTTTATAAACCCAAGCAAATCAAAATGTCTCCTCCATATTCTCCATACTGGTAAGAGCAGAAAGAAAAACATACATGCTGAATAAATTTTGTTCTTTTTTATACACTTTCAGGTTTTTAACTCTGTCTTTTGGGATATGAACCATCTTTTAGCTTTTCAGAATTGATGAGTATGGGTTATAATCTCTCTAGGAGAGAAGATTATTGAACAAATGAAACAAGTAAAGGAAGAAAGAAAATATCTGGAAAATATTAGAGAAGAACTATTAAAAAAAGTTGAAAAGCTATTTGAACAAAATAAATCAAAACGATATCATGGTAAGTTTATTAAACAGATTTTATAACTACAAAGAAAACTACCCCTAAATTATACAAAATTAATAGTTTCAGTATAACTAATACATTCATAATTAATAATTGTCTCACTTGTTACAGTACATAATTGAAGTACATTAATACAGAAATACAAGTACATTAATATAGAATATAATATGTAATTGAAGTACATTAATATAGAAAATAATCATTTGATTTTAAGCAATAAATGCTTTGCATAAGGCTTTGTAAATTAAAACTCAAATATTTTTGCTATCAAAACTCAAATTAATTCTTTCCCTCATTTATTAAGTAAATATAAAGTGTTTAGCATATTTAGACACTGTCATAAGGGCTGAGAAGATACAATAGCTAATACAGTCAGGAAAATGATAACCAAGTTAAGAATAAATGATACATCATGTTTAGTGCTTTATAGAGGAAATTCACAATTGTATGTATAGAAATTTAAAGGAGGAGCACATATGCTGGATGGAAGAAACAAAGAAAGCCTTCCAGAAGGAGTTGGATGCACTAGGGTCCAAGTGTGTCCCGTGGCTTCATGCCTTCCACCATGTTCTTCCCTAGTCATCAACTGATCTTTCTCTCACTTGCTTCTGCTCAGCTCACTGGGTTGTTTCCAACAGGTCATTCCAGGTCATGTATCACTAACTCTAGAAGCCATCTTTAGGTCTTTGAATTGCCGTAACTGCTTAATTTAGGGGTATATGTGCCTTGCTGCTTTGCTAATATGAATGAATGAGGGAACTTAAGGGGGAAAGTCATTTTCTTACAATAAAACCAGAAGCAATATGATTCGAGCTAGTAGAAATGAGTGGAAATATGAGCCAGAGCAAGGAAAGTATAAGATGGTTGTTTGAGAAATAGTAAATGATTTGAGAAGCCTTCATTTTGTGTTGCATTTGAGGATTATGAAGAAAAAGCCGTATGTGGAATTGATCTATTTTAGTATTTTGCTATAAATTAAGAATTCTAAAAGTTTCAATCCTCAAAGTGACTGAAGGCCATGGGCCATTTCATAAGCTATGAAGAAGATGCTTAAGAATATTGAATTGTTGCCTTGAAGTAGTGACTTAATCCTGAGTAATACTGAAAGAGTCAAATTAACACTGGTCTAGAAGTCATGGGGCTTAGATTCTAATGCTAAGTCAGTCTTTTACTTAGGCAAGTTTCCTTTTTCTTGTGCGTCTTACTCTTTTCATATCTAAAATGAAAACTGAGTCACTTTTTACTTCAGAAGAAATGTACATACTCACCTACACACACAAAATATCAGATATTTAGTGATCCTGCTATGTGCTAAGTATTAATTTAAATACTAAGGATGCAACAATGAACAGAATCAACCTGGACTTGGCCCTGCTATGAGGAATGTGCTTCCAAACAGTAGGGGACTGACAATAAGACAGTATCAGCTAGTGATGAGAATTTCAAAACTAATTTAAAAGAGCAGTTGGCTGGAGAGGTGACTTGGCAGTAAGAGAACCAGCTGCTCTTTTAGGTTGATCCAGGTTCAATTGTGAAAAACCATGTGATAGTTTACAATCACCTGTAATTCCAGTTCCAGAGGATCCAGTGCTACCTTCTGGCCCCTATGGGCAATGCACACACATGGTTCCCAGATGGGCATGTAGGCAAACACACATACAGTTGAGAGGAATGCAGCATGGTACTTTAGCTAGGGTTCCCAGGAAGGCATTTCTGAATAGAGATACCCAAATCAGATTAATGAGGCAGGCATTGTAAAGAAATATCAGTCTGCATAAGAGGAATAGTAAATATCCAAGTGAAGAGATAAGGATGGCCTTGTTGTGGTAGTCAGGCTTGAAAAATGCCCAGAGTAGATAGAGCATGTTAAATAAAGTGAATTGTTGGCAAACAATTGAGAAAATCAGAAAACCCAAGTCAAAAGATTGGATTTTATTCTAAATAAGATTAGAAGCTCTTGGAGGATTTTAAACTAGATTACACAATCTTAAAAACATTTGGGGACCACGTATTGTGACACACACCTTTAATCCCAGCACTTGGTAAGCAGAGGCAGGCTGATCTCTAAGTTCAAACCCAGCCTGGTCTATACAGTGAGTTCCAGGACAGACAGGTTTTACACAGTTGTAGAAGTTCCTTGGTAGAATTTTTGGGATCACTTATGTAAACTATCATATCATCAGCAAACAGTGAGAGTTTGACTTCTTTTCTGTTTTGTATCCCCTTGATCTCCTTTTTTTAAAATTCTTCTACCTATTATTCTTAGATTTGGCCTTTTCATGGTGTCCCATATTTCCTGGATATTTTGGGTTAAGCTTTTGTTAGATTTAATGTTTTCTTTTACTGATGAGTCTATTTCCTCTATTGTATCTTCAGTGCTTGAGATTCTCTTTTCCATCTCTTGTATTCTGCTGTTCATGCTTGTGTTTGTGGTTCTTGATCGTTTTCTCATGATTTCTGTTTCTATAATTCCCTCGGCTTGTGTTTTCTTTATTGTCTCTATTTCAGTTTTCAAGACCTGAATAGTTTCATATATTTTCTTTTTCTTGGTTTTCTTTAAGTGATTTGCTGATGTCTTCCAATTTTTTGTTTGTCTTTTCCTCTATTTCTTTAAGTGAATTTGTCATTTCCTCTTTAAGAGTTTCAAACATTCTCTTGAAGTTATTTTTTAGGTCATTTTCTTCTGCTTCATCCATATTTGGTTGTTCAGGTCTTACTGTTGTAGGGTTTTTAGGTTTTACTGGTGTTGTTCTTTGTGGTGTAGTGTGTGTTCTTATCTTTACTCATCTTTTTCTCTAATAGGTGTGGTTGGGGTGTCTGAGATTCTGTTGCATAATCTTCTGGTACCAGTGAGTCCAAAGCTCAGATGGTTGTTCCTCATGGTACAGTCAGTGTCACAGTTCTAGTTACTCTGTTGGTTACTTCGTGTTCCTGGAGATAGGTCAGCACTCCTGGGCTTTGCTCTGCTCCCTTGGAGTTTGCTATCTCAGGCCTTTTTGGCCTAGGGTGCTGGCTTTGCCCTCTTTCTGTAAATCCTGGTCTAGATCCCCTCCTGCAGAAGTCCCTGGCTTGGAGTTGGACCTGGAAAGGTTTCTGGCTCCAGTCTGCTGCCTCGGAGTTCCCAGGCTTGGGTGCACCCAGAACCTCAGAAGACCTGGCTCGGGCTTACTCCCTCAGAGGTCCCAGACTCATGCTCGGACCCACAGAGGTTCCAGGTTCCTGTCTATTCCCTTTGATGTCCCAGACCAATGCCTGGACCCACAGAGGTCCTGGCTCAGGCCTATTCCCTCTGAGGTTCCAGACTCATGCCTGGCCCCACAGAGATCTCTGGTTCCTGCCTCGGAGTTTCCAGGTTCATTCACACCCAGACTGGCAGAGGTCCTGGTTCAGGCCTAGTTCCTGGTAGGTCCAAGACTCACGCCCAGACCCACAGGGGTCCTGGCTTAGGTCTACTCCCTTGAAGGTCCCAGATTCACTTCTGGACCCTTAGCGGTCTCTGGCTCTGGCTCACTCGCTCAGCCGTTACTCCCCTGTACCTGTTCCAGTGGAGATCACTGACTCCGGATCACTTGCTCAGCCGTTACTCCCCTGTACCTGTTCCAGTGGAGATCACTGACTCCGGATCTAGTCCTGATCCGCCAGTGTCCCAGGACTGTGTTGGCTCCTGGAACTGGATTTGCTCCTGGCTTCTGCTCCCGTTGGAGCTTTCCCTCCCTTTCTTCATTTAGCATCAGGCCTTTGTATAAACTTCTCATTTCCTTGTGCTCAGGAGTTGGCTCCAGTATTACATTCCCTGTGCTCCTCAAACATGGGAGTATTTTTGCTCCACTTGCTTGTTCATTCTAGATCTGTATGAGTGGTCACTAATAACAATGTGACACAGTCAGTACTATGTTGGCTTGAAGTTTCTGCTGCCATTATGTTAGTCCAAAACTCTTCAGTTTAACCTCAGGGAAATTATTAGGAGAAAAACAAAAAGCAGCCACTTTCTTTGCCAAAATATTACAATAGTTGTCTCTACCCAGTTGCTAATAGTGTTCACCTCTGAAACCTCTTGAGCTGGGCCTCATAGTCCACATCGCTCCCATCACTACTGTCCTTCAAGTTCTTTGTAGGATGGCCTGTTAAACCCAGTTTACAGCAGCCAGACACTCTTCAAAGTCACATTCCACATTCAACATGGTAACCAGCCATAGCAATACCCTAAACCCTAGTACCAACTTCTCTCTTACTTATTTTATATTGCTGTGAAGAGACGCCAAGACCAAGGAAACATAACAAAAAGCATTTAGGTAGTGACTTCGTTAACAGTTTCAGAGGATTTCTATGAGCATTATGACAGAAAGCAAGGCAGGAAACAGACAGATACAGCACTGGTGCAGGACCTGGGAGCTTACATCTGATACGGGAGGGAAGGAGGGGAGAGACAGAGAGACAGAGAGACAGAGACATTGAGCCTGGCATGGACTTTTGAAACATTAAAGTCTGCTTCCTTCACCCCCAGTGGTACATCTCCAGATAAGGCCACACTTCCCAATCCTTCTGAGTTTTACTAACTTCGCACCAAACCTTCAAGTATATGAGCCTGTCTCATTCAGACCAGTACACTAAGGATATTACTATCTAGCAGACTTTTTTCAGCTTTTGGTCTGTAAGAACTGAAAACAAGGAAAGAAGGAAATTTTTTTAAATTGATATATATGTATTTTTTTAACTCTAGGATTCTTTCTACCTTAAAATTTTAGTCCTTTAACATAATGGTTCTCAACCTTCCTCGTTTGTGACCTTCAATATATAGTTCCTCATGTTGTGACCTTCAATATATAGTTCCTCATGTTGTGACCCTTCAAAATATAGTTCCTCATGTTGTGGCTTCCCTGACCATAAAATTATTATAAAAAATAATGCTACTTCATAACTGTAATTTTGCTACCATTATGAATTGTAATGTAAATAGTTGCGTTTTCCAATTATCTTAGGTGGCCCGTATGAAAGGATCATTTAATCCTCAAAGAGGTCACAGCCGACAAGTTGAGAACCACTGCTTTAACAGTATCCACCTATAACTCTTGTGGTTTGTGTTTTATTTGTAGTCTGTGACAGCTGGAAGAAAAAATACTTGGACACCAAGAAAATCACAGCATCACTGGAGGAAGTTTTAACAAAACTTCGAGAAGATTTGGAACTTTACTATAAAAAACTACTCATGCAGCTTGAAGCCAGGGAGATCAAGATGCGACCAAGGAATCTGGCAAATATCTCAGATTCAAAGGTACTATTAACTGTTCTCCCTTCCTCTAGAAAAGTCCTATGCAGGAAGTATGCTTTAATTTGTGTTTTGTTTAGGATTCTCCAGGTTACTTGGAGCAAAACTTGCTTGGAGAGTAAAACACAAGTCCCTAGCCTGCTGAGGATGCACAAGTCAGAAGACAATATTTCTTAGGGCCTTGATGCTGGTATTTCCTCCCTGTCGGTATTGTTGGCTTCCTAAGACAGCTTTTTTTTCTAGCACCTGCAGTAGAGTTGAAAGTGACTAATAAGATCATAAGGAGAGAAACCTGACCCAGAGTGCTTGGGTCTTTTGAAAAAGAGTCATTCCAAGATGTAATTTCAGCTCTCTGTCATAGCAAGGAGGAACAGCTTCTATGAACTAAACTTCCAACAGCCATGCAAAGGCTTAGTTACTGATTGTCACATAAAAGTTGTTTTGGGGGTAAACAGGTTCCTCATACCAAAGCCATGGTCTAATCTATATGTTTTCAGAAGGAAAGTGTCATGCTCCTGCCACTTTTGTCCTTATTGTCACTGTCTGCAGTACCCAGAAATTCAAGACCCCTTGGTGTGCCAGGAGCATCTTGTGACCAAAATCATGCAAAGGCTGTAGAGTTGCTTCCAAAAACCAGCTCCGTAGCTTAGAGAAAACAATCACTGTTTTTCATGATGACATCTTCAAGGTCTAAGAACTTCCAGAAAACAACTATTCATTCTGATATTTACCCTAGATACAGTGAAAGGCAACTATTTCATTCCAATGTTTAACCTTGATACAGTGATTCTACTAGGTTTCCTACAATGACACAGAGTCATGAAATATAAAAATCTTTCCTTTAGCCTTGTGGAGGTTAACTAGGCATAACTCTGATTCAGTAACAAATGCTCTGGTTGCCTTAGGGTGATTAGCATTACAAAGAAATCACTAACTGATAAACTTAAGAGTAAGGTGCTAATAGAGCTAGCTCACTGTAGCCCTATGGGTAGAGGGAGTTACAACACCAACAAAACTCAAAATTCCTGATATCCTATGGAATTCTTTAAATCATGGAATTTTGATCAACTCATTTTTTTTCTTGAGATAATCTTGAATCTTACATCACAGACAAGAGTATCCTTTATTGTATAATTCTACCACATAATTAAATAGGCAAAAATAAAGAAACCAGCATTCATTCATTAAGTTTGTTTTTATTAGATTTATCTTACATGTCCAAAAGATTTAAAGATATGTTAATTTTGATAATGACTTCACTTTGATAGTGACATGGTGAAATAGATAATGTTTTACTACTTTAGGTAAATTTAAATAAAATCCAAATAGGCTAAAATAATTACTTAACATATTATTCAATACTATTTTAGCCTAATTAATATCTTTATCTTATAATTGTATTGGTTCTATGTAGTGGCATTTTATAAATAAAGCTTGCCAGAAGACCAGAGAGTAAAACAGCCCCACTGGTCAGCCGTACAGAGCAGGCAGTAGTAACACACACCTTTAATCCCAGTAGCCACACTATTGCCATAGAAACTAGGTGTTGCACGCCTTTAATCCCAGAACTAGAGAGGATTATAAAACAGGAGGAGACAGCTCTCAGTCACAGTCTCATTCTGAGATTCCTGGAGGCAGGACTGCCATTTCAGACTGAGGTAGAGGTAAGAGCCATTGGCTGGTTGTTTTGTTTTTCTGACCTTCAGGTTGAACCCTAATTGCTCTCTGTTTTTATTAACCATGCTTCAGTTCAGCATGAGAATGATTCACAAAGGAAGTTTAAAATTCTTTTTTTGTTGTTTTGTTTGTTTTCTGTATTTTGAAAATGGGTTTCTCTGTGTAGCCTTGGCTGTCCTGGAACTCACTCTGTTGAACAGGCTAACACTGAGTTCAGAGACTGCCTGCCTCTGCTTCCTAAGTGCTGGGATTAAAGATTTATGCCACCACAGTCATACATGGAGGTATAAAATTCTTAAATAACTTCTTAGTAAAGAGAACTGTACTGTGCATACATTTTTCAAGAAAAAGTGTTTGCTCATATCTTCATAAGATAATAGTGTTAATGATATTAAATTGATGGTCAGTTTTACAAATATCCATTTTGTTTTCTGAGACAGGATCTTACCCAGTTTGGCCTCAAACTTGAGATCCTTCTGCCTCAGCCTCTGAATACTGAGAAGTATGTGTCATGATGCCAGGCTCAGTTTTTTAAAATAGATGATTAGAGGTAGGACAGGAGAGAAAGTCACTCCTTAAAGCACAAGAGCTCAACAGAAAGGGTTTTCATTTTCAGTATCTACTCAAAACAATAAGATTTTCTGAAATAGATTATTTTTGTGATCATTTCATAGTTTATGTTCATAAGGTCTTTTATAGTAAATTCACAAATATTCTAAATAAATGATTTTCTGTCTCACACAGAATTGTCTTATAATCCAGATCACTGAAGTACAGCATGCAATTGACCAACTTAAGAGAAAACTGGATACTGATAAAATGAAACTCATATTAGAAGTTAAGGTAATCTATATTTCTCCTAATCAGATTATAACATTCATCTTGAAATAAAATAGTTTGGAGTTTATCCTTAAATATCAATATTGTAAGGGTAGCCACACTGACTCTTTAAGTTAGTGCACTTTAGCAGCAAAGAATATGGATTAAAAATGTGGGAAGAAAACTAAATACAATAAAAAGATGCATGCTACAAGGCCAAAGGAAAATTAAGTAAAATTTTACTAGAATTAAAAGTTAAAGGATCATGTGAATCAGTATAATATAAACAGAAAAACACTTTAAAAATAGTTTTCTACATTTTCTGACATACCTCCTAATAAGCCTCAAACTCCCACTTAATTTGTTCCCTTTTCTTGTATAATCATTTTATTGTTGCTATTTTCAAAAATATAAAGTATGGCTCTTCTGCTAGATGCTAAACTTTGAATTTTATTTACTCCTATCTACTACATGGGACAGAGCAGTTCTAGATGCAGTTCACTTCCCTGAAGGCTGCCTCAGCACTAGAATGCTTAGGACTTAAGGGGGACAGAACACAGGATAACTTTATTAAGTAGTATGCAATAAAAAATAATTTGTCCAGTAAGGGAACCATATCTGCTCAGTATGTGGAGAAGAAGCCAAGGTTGAGACTTGTATACCTGAGGATAGTGGGGTGCAGAAAGGAGGATATCTAAACTCTCAATCATGACTTCCTCCACTTTCCTCAGGGAGCATGCACATTAGAGTTTTTCTGTATAGATGGTAACTTTACACGTGTGACTTATGGCTTCACCCTAAATAGTAATTCAGTTTTAAAGACAAGAAATTTTCATCTTACGGATTGGAAGGAAAAAAATCCTGTATTTAATCATAGTGCCTAAAAGACATGTAACCAATAGTATTTATTGACTTCTGAATGAACCACCTAAAACATCCCCACCAATACCATTGAGAAATACGAGAAAGAAAATCAACCATATTTATTCAAGGTAGTGGAGCATAAGTAGTGCTTCTGAAGTTTAATGGTTTTATCTTAACAGGAGAATTTGTTTAAAATGCAGCATTTGACTTAATAAACCCAGGGGAGCCTGAGGTTCTTTATTCCTAACAAATCATAGGTGGTGCTCATGCTTTTAGTCTGTACACAGTCAGTATGTGGAATACAGGTGGCTGTTCCAAACTTGTAGTTTTGCACTCTGAGCAAAGTACTCAGCCTTTTGGTTGGCTCATTTCCTTAATTATAAAACGAGGAAATCAAAGGTTTAAGACCCTTAGAAGCATTTTGGGCACAGGTGTATCCTATTATGTGTCTTAACTATCCATTTCCTAAAGGCTCTTGTATTCAGGATCCTGTTACTGCCTGTTTTACTTGTTGCACACTGAGATTCTGAAGCTAAAGTTCTTAAAAAATAAAGTTCCTTTCATTCTATATTTTGAGACATTTCAACTGCCCTTTATATACTCATAAAGGATGTAAGAATGATGGGTAACTTCAGCTTACTGTAGTGATCTAGTAAGAGGGAAGGCATGAGGGGTGAGGACAATTCCCACCATGACATCCTTCTAGAAAGCTGAGATGAAACTCATGTTTAAAAGACACCTCTTTCTACAGATGAGGAAACAAGCAGTTTCAGATTTACAGACACTGAAAGCTGAACTGACACAGAAGAAAATGGGCACATCCTTCCGACCACCAATATGTATGTTCATTTAACTTCTCTCTTGAAATTTTAGATAAGGATTTGAACAAAGTAAGCCATTTTGTTCCTTGGCAATATTTTATGTAAATCATAAGGTTGATGTATCAGTTAAGAATAAATTTAAAAATAAGACTTCAATTTTACATTGTGTGTGGGTTTTGCAAATTATAATATAAATCTAGTGACTATTTTGAAGACTATTACCTATTTTATAGTCCTACATTTTATAATTTCTCATTTTTAATAAAGTTAAAAGCCAGTATTATGGCAAAATTAATGATTAGCAAAATGTGTAATGTTTTAGTAAATACCAGTATATTTGCCTAGAAATAGAATTTATCATATTAATGATATTTTGATTTAAAACAATTGTATATACATGTATGACAAATTTGTGTCTAATAATTTAACTTGTACCGCTTTTAGAAATATAAAATTTTTAGAAATATAAAGTAAGAAATATAATTTTACTGTCAAACAACTATGTAAATAAAAAACATAACATACCTGATAAATCACTCCAGTTTGGAAGGGGATCATATGTAAAGGTAGGATTAGGATTTATGTACATGGAATTCAAAGGATACAAACTGTAATGAGTCTTTTTCTGTTCCGCCAGCCAGCTCCTAAATAATGACACTGAGACTTCTTATTAGTTTTGAAAGCTCAGCCGATAGTTTAGGCTTGTTTCTTAACTCTTATAACTTAAATTGACCCACGTCTATTAATTTACTTTCTGCCGTATCATTTTATCCCTTAGATCTGTAGTGCCAATCTTGCTTGCTCTGTGTCCTTGGAGGCTTCACTTTTTTCTTCCCAGTGTCCTCTCTACTCAGAAATCCTGCCTAGCTATTGACTGTTCAGCTTTTTATTAAACTAATCCCAGGAACACATCTTCACAGTGTACAAAAAGATTATTAATTTATGTATTTTCAGGAAGTAATATATATTTATAATGTTATGATTTATTGTATTTTTATTTAATTTTATATGCACGGATGTTTGTATGTCTGTGTACCATGAGTGTGTCAGATCCCCTGGAACTGGAGTTAAAAGATCTCTGGGGAAGTGGACCTGGGAATTGAAACTCTTACCTGCTGAGCCAGTTCTCCAGACCTGTAACACTGTTGTTAGTTGCTTTGAGAAAGAGAACTAAAACTGCTTTACATTTAGAAATTTATTTTCACAAAAGTGATCTTTTAGAAAAAGACAGTAAGAATAATGTTCTTATGTAGCTTAAAAGCAAACTGCAAATGTCGAAGAAAAACAAGAAAACTAGGCAAGAAATGAGTATTAATAAGTGAAGGACCATGAATGACTACAAGTATAAACAGTGAATAGAATCAAGTTCAACAGCAGCTGCTTCTCACTACAAGAATTTTACACATAAATCTCACAGCAGGTACTTCTAATTTACTGCTTAAAATATTACCAAATTATCTTCTCACGTTTAATATGTATGCATACTTTTATCTCATGCACTCTCTTAATGGATTAAGTGATGCTAATGTGGGTATGTCATGAAGCATTCATATGTACTATGAGGAGTTAAGCAGAAAAATCATGTCTAATCATTTTAATGAATCTGAAGAGATACCATATTCCTGGTTCTAAATTTAAGATTTGTTGAAAATAAATTCAACATAAACTGCTTCTTAAAGACTAGGCCTTAATTTCCATTTCAAGTTACAGAGTTCTTGTCAATTTTTTATTAGCACGTAATAATTGTAAAAAATAATGGGCTTCATTCTGATATTTTATATATGTATATAACCTAATTTGATCATATTCATTCCCCACCACATTACTCTCTTTTGTCTAGTAGTTACACATATTTTTAAAATCAGTAATGATTTTTAACGGTATATTCAGCATGAAATTTTGAAAGCAATTTTCCTAACTAAATTATAATATTGAAACATAGAGAAGTATTTAAGTATCTTTTATGTTCAAATAAAAATTTATTTCTTACCCGTTTTTTGAGTATACCAATAGGTAAGTTATGACAACATGAAAAAATATACATTTTTATCTTTGCATGAAATTAGACTCACTTATACAACTCATTCTTGCAAAAATCTAATAGTCTGACAAAAAGATGCTCCTCTCTCTCCATCACAACCATGGTTTTAAGGCTCCCCACATTGCTTTTGTTTGCTCTCTGGCTAGAGTGTCTTCTGAGTAATCAAGACAGTTTGCATTCCACATGCCAATGCCCCGCAAGCCATAGTTTTTGACATATACTGCCTTTAATGAAATGCTCTGGGGGTTATCATACCACACTTGATGAAAACGGCCAGCGGGATCCTATACAAAAACAAGTAAATTGGAAATTTAAAGAATTCAGTACAGCAGAGGAAAAGTTCTTAAATTCAAGGATTCAAAATGCATGCAAAGAAATAATGAAAATTTTATAGCACATTACTTTCCTGTTGTGTTACTTCATGGTTATATACATGATATTCCTAAATATTACCTTGTGGTACTTGAGCAACAGAAAATTTATCTAACAATTTAACCTCCTAATGTAACCTCCTAATGTCTTCTATTTAAGAGCCTCCTGTCTTAAGATTCTTTATTTGATCTGTTCTAATGACTGTCATCTAAGAGGCTCACTTGAATCATTGTAAATCATGGAGCATTCACATTTATAGACTCTAGAAGGGTCTGGTGATGAGCACCTGGCGCTCACAGGGATGAGGCAAGAAGATCATGAGTTCAGGGCAAGCCTAAGCTACACAGTGAGACCCTGTCTAGAACAATACAAGACACAACTAACAGTTCAGATCCCTATGTCTCACTCCACATAAAACTTAACGAATCAAATTCTTCTAAGGCAGGTGCTAGGATTCATATTTGTTTGTCCTCTGTGTTAATATTCCACTGGGTAACTGATATGCAAGCCAAGTTAAAAAGAGAAACTGCTGCTGTCCATTAAAACCAGCTTGTTTGCTTGTTTGTATTCTTTACAGTTTCTGGAAGTGTGCCAACTTCGACAGATGACGACTGTGATAAATCGGCCAGAAGAACAGGTAATAGCAGTGAAGGAGGAAAGTGCCATCTGCCTGGGTCTTACAGAATCGATTCTAAAAGGCTGCTGGAGGGGACTCCCTGGATGACTTAGCACAGAACTGATCAAGAACAATGAACTAGATTGTGGTCTTGTACCCTGTACCACTCTCAAGAAACACATGGGTTATTTAAAAATAAATGACAGGACCAGATGTAGGCAAAAGAACAAATGAAGGAGGAAAATATTAGGAGAAAAAAACCGGAACTATAGTGAAAAATATGTTTTATATGCATGAAGAAACCACTTAAAGGCAATTCTGAATGAATGACAGTAATGTTTTTATCTGTGGTGGCACTCTTGGAATTAGTTTTTTGATTAGTCTACTTTGAAGAACAATAGTAATTTCATAAGCAAATAGGCTGTGGTACATTACAGTTTAGTGAAGTCATTCAAGAAGGCATATCTGATTCTTCATTTTTTACTTTGTGGATTGATTGGTTTAAGCATGCTTAAAATATACATTCTAGAATATTGAGTCCAAGACGAAGCTGCTATTGCTGAACCAAATGAAAAAGCTGAATGATTCTTTTCAGATATAACAGAAACTTGATTTACTGTGATTGAAAATGAGGAACATAGTCATAAGAATAGACTGTTGCTTAAAGTGCCATCAGATGGCCTCCAAGGCTCCCCAAAATGTTTCATGAATTATTTGACATCTACTAGTATGTTCTGGATAGTGGTTACCAACACACACAGTCAGATGAAAGGAATAGCTCATGAGTAAGAAGTAAGAGTTCAAGAGCTTTAGACATAAAGAAATCAAAGGAAAAATGCTGTCCACCTTGATTTTATCATTGGATGCTGTGTATTGCATTGAAAACCACTCTACATCCCATTGATATATGCAACTAATGCATGTGAATAAAAATATTTTAAAGTATGTCTAGGAAATAAACATTCTTAACCCCAAAACTAATCTATTCTTTCAAAGAAACTAAAATGGTGTTTATATCAGAAGACGTGGCTGGGGAGAATGGGAGACGTTCAAATGACACACTACTTAGTCAGACAAGGAAATAAGTCAGAGAGATGAAGTACCACCATCACTAAGAGCAAGGTAGCAAGGGATTACATATTTTACAATTGCTGATTTTAACTGATCTCACTATAAAAGAACTGTCTGAAGTAAGACACATGTAATGGATATCAAAGCAGGTTGTATACCATAAATAATATTTTCTTGAAATTATATCTATTTTTAAAAATATGTTTCTGCATCTTCTCATTTAGTAAAAAAAAATACACCAATGATTATAAAACAATCTATGACAGTATATACTATCATTTTTTATATATTTATTTAAATTATATATAATTGATTACTATAACAATAAAATACTGTTCCCCTACCCTGTTCTGAGTGGACTGAAGCAGGTTCTATGTTAAATAAACAGCTTTATGTATTGCAGTATTTCTTAAATATTTTAATATAATTCCATACAATAGAAATCCCAGGGAGGCTGGAGAAATGGCTCAGCGGTTAAGAGCACTAGCTGTTCTTCCAGAGGTCCTGAGTTCAATTCCCAGCAACCACATGGTGGCTCACAACCATCTGTAATGAGATCTGGTGCCCTCTTCTGGCCTGCAGATGTACATGCAATGGCAAAACACTGTATACATAATAAATGAATAAATAAAAAATCTTTTTTTTTTTAAAAGAAATCCCAGATCAATAGATATAGCCAACTGTTTTCTAAATATGCTTGGTCATTACACATGCATGCAATTTGCATATATGTGCATGTCTGTGCATATGCTAACAGTTCTCAGAACAGAGTTCTAATATTGCATATATGTATATGTATGTCCACGTTTGTATGTGTGTATATGCTATACATATAGATATATGTATGTTTTCTTATGCAATGTCTTTCTGTTTCTTCTAAAATTCCTTAAATTTGTTTTACTTGTAAAATAAAATTGACAAATGCTGCTTTTCAGTATAAAAACTTAACGACTCATCTATTAATCTCAGCTTCATTCCCACCTCTCTGAATCTCATTAGAATTGTTAAGCTATTTTGAAATAAATGGAGACTTTCAAATATAAAACCTACTTTGTCCAAAGCCCTTTGAAAAGCAAATTACCTTAGCATAATTGTCAGCTATTAAGGTAGCCCTGTTTGTGATATGCATAAACATTCAAAAGAAAGTAGATCAAGCAGAGTATTGCACTAGTAACGTAACTTCGGTTGTTCCCCAGTCAACTAAATTTCCTGATTACACAGACTCAAAGACAGATTTATGCACATAAACAGTAAAACTGGTAAATTACTAATATCAACTATATAACCACAAAATACAGAATTATGGAAACTAGTAAAGGTCATACATAGTTTATGACAGTTTACCTTGTAGTTATAATAGGGAGCTTGCTGGTCCTCATCCCACTGGCTACCAGAAACAGAACTATTTACTTGCTTCATGATCAGTTTGTAGGGTACCTGACGTCCTGCAGCATCGCTGCAAGGAGCCCCTCGAAAAGGGACCTTTGCAATGGTGCAGACGTCATCCTAGAAATACAAAAATGTTCATGTTATTACTAAGAAAGTTTAAAAATCCAAATGAGACAAGTAATAAAAACTGTTAGAAGATTCAGTATTATCTGAATGTACAGAATAATCATTAAATTGATAATAAAATGAAAATGCATGGCATTCAGAAACTTCCATATTAAAGAATTAAAAAAAAGTTTAGCTTCAAAATATATTTCAGAAATTATTTAAAGTTTCACATATTCAAAGCAGAACAAAATATATAATGGAGTAATACTACATAACAAATAAGTTGTTCTTACCTCTGATATATTCAAGCAGATATAATCATAACCATACCAGGGAATACCCATTATGAGTTTCTTAGGGCTAATGCCCATCTTGATGTAGTCAATATATCCTAGTCACAAGGGGATAGAAAACCACATAATTCTGTTTATATATCTGTTAATATGTACATAGAAGCTAGGCAACTACGGAAAATCTTAAGCTTGTAGAAACAGGTACATTTGTGCAGATACATCTTCTATGATAATAAAAGTCATCCCTTAAGAACTGGAAGTCCTATGTCATACTTTCTAAGTTTTCATTTTTAATAAGAGACAATATCCAATGAAGATGATATGATAACAAAATACACAAAATATAATTGGAGAAATGGAAATTGCAAGAAACCATACTAATTTAACGTGTTAGCTGTTAACATTTTTGATATTTGAGATTCTAAAGCTTCTATAATCTTAAAACTCTGTGGCAGTGATACTCAAACTTTCTTTTAGAAGCTCAAGTGTTCCACCTTTAAAAATACTCTGTATGTTTCCTAATGGCTACATAAGAAATGTCCTTGCTCTTATTCTGTAGTAACCTGTAGTTTAGGACACAAAGAATGAACAAACTCCATCTACTCATGAGAACAGTGACTGACTGGATCTTGTGCCAGTCCTGTGCAGGTAGTCACAGCTGCTACAAGCTTCAGAGTGTGCAGTCCTCGGAAGACACTGCAGCTCTGGCTTGTACATCCTTTCTATCTACCTCAAGTGGTCCCTGAGCCGCGTGCGTGCGTGCGTGCGTGCGTGCGCGTGTATGTGTGTGGTACAGTTCCCGTAAGTTCCTATCTGTGGTTTAGTCCATATACAATTATTGTCTGCACTCTGACCAGCTGTGAATTTCTGCATTTAAATTCCATAATATTAAAAATATCTTGGCACATGAAAAGAGTGTTAGACTTGGTTGAAGTATAATGTAGGATCAATAATAATATAGCTATCCCATGATCTGTAATAAGAAATAAATGAAATTTTCAATTTTTTTTGTAAATACTAAAGCATTGCAATTTAATTTTATTTATTGTATAATACATTTTATAATACATTTTATTATATTTTATTTATAAAGCAAGCTTTTATATAAAAGGTATATAAATAATTTTGAAAAACTAAAAGGTACTTTAGTGTGTGAGGTTTTGGAGTAAATATTACCAAGTGATCATTTCCTTTTTTTTTTTTAAAGATTTATTTATTTATTATGTATACAACATTCCTTCCATGTATGCTTGTATGCCAGAAGAGGGCACCAGATCTCATTATATATGGCTTTGAGCCACCATGTGTTTGCTGGGAATTGAACTCAGGACCTCTGGAAGAGCAGTCAGTGCTCTTAACCACTGAGCCATCTCTCCAGCCCGTGATCATTTCTTGAATTCTTACCAGCTAATGTCTGATTATAGGGAGCATTAGCTGCTGCAATACATTCTGACCAGATCTGACTTTGCTCATCGTAAGACATGACGAAGAGAAAATCACAGGCACCCGCAATTCCCATGTAATTATAGCACCTTTTGTCTATGTTCTTTGGTGACCAAGCTACATCAAAGGTTACCTGTGGGAAAAAAACTGCATATTATTTTATATAACATGGAAAAGTATATTATACCAGATTTTTATCATTCTCTTGCCTCATTCTACTAAAGAATAAAGAACTGCTTACAATGTATGCATATGCGATTGGATGCATGTAGAAGAGGTCTAATAAATATATTTTGTTATTACACTGGACTGGCCTGCGCATGTGTCTGGATACACAAGGACTAGGAGCACAGCACTATAAAGAAAAAGAATTTCAAATTCCGATGTTCTCAAAGTCTGGGCTGGTAACTCACTGACTGAAAGAAGCAGGTTCAATAGTAACACTATGATGGGGCCCTGGAGAAGTGTAAGAAGAAGCCACATGAGAAGAAATCAAATACAGAGACGTTACCTCGGGGTACTACCTGAGGTATTCTGAGTTAGTCCCTGAATCATAATTATATGACATGGTAGCGTGGACCCAATATTACAGCCAGAGAATTGGGCTTCATTCATCAACTCAAAATGCTTAGCTTATCATTTAAATGATCTTACTTTCTGGACACAGCCAAATGAAACAGGTGATAAAATATCCTTTACTTTGAATGGTGATCACCCAGGATAACTCACTTCAAATATCTTTTTACCTTAACAGAATATTAATACATTTTATTGTATAAAAATTTATAAAATCTCACCAAATGTTTCCCCTTAATCAGGCACCCAGTAAACACAAATTATAGTAAAATGAGTCTTTATATAAAGTCTTTATATTTTGTCTAACTTATATCAGCAAAACTTTCAGACTTTCTCAAAGTTTTCCCTGTGATTCAATGAGTACTACAACAAATGGTTATGAAGTAAAATTTTTACCTGTTGGACCCATTTTGTCACTGCCTCTTATTACAAAATGGGAGCTGTCTTGCAGTAGTTGACAGAGTGAGTACTTCTAAGCAGTTAAATTCCAGTCTACTCTGTTACTGTTTCTATGTCTTGAATACTAAAGAGTCTTCACTTGAATTGCCTGTCATGGTTTATCTTACACTTTTGAGTGAGTGGTTAGAGACAGGAAAGGCAAAGCCTTGAGTTGTAGTGTTAGCTCTTACAGCTTCCCCTTGCTAAGTCACATGAGGCATCTGTCTTAGTTAGGTTTCTATTGCTGTGAAGAGACACCATGACCATGGCAGCTTTTACAAAGGAAAACACTTAGTTTCACAGGTCATGGCGGGAAGCATGGCGGCACGCATGCACATATGGTGCTAGAGAAGGAGCCGAAAGTTCTACATCTTGATGTGCAGGCAATAGGAAGTGAACCATCTACCACCTTGGACATATTGAGACCTCAAAGCCTGCCCCCAAGTGACACACTTCCTCCCACTAGACCACGCCATCTAATATAGTGTCACTCCCTATAGAAGAAGCATGAAACCATCACAGCATCTGAGTCTACTTTCAGAACGAGGATGAAGAAAGAACTCTTCACAGGCATTTCCAGCTATTTAACTCTGCATTCTTATGAAGCTCAGTTTCCCACTCAAGGCTCTCTATTTTGGGCATTTTTGTTTTCTGATCTGTAGCTTAAGAACCTTTGAGCCATGACAGGAATGACTCCTTTTTAAGTGGTCTATCTTTTGTTCTGTTCTCTCTTTTTTATAATGGAATTCTCAAGTATTATTTCAAGATTAACCTGTATAAATGATATATACCTTTTTAAATCTTTTAATTTATTCAGAACTGGCAAGATGACTCAGGATAAAGGCACTTGCCACCAAGTGTGGAAACCTCAGTTCATTCCCTGGAACTGGTGGAAGGAGAGAAATGACTCCCCAGAGTTGTCCTTTGACTCTCTCTCTCTCTCTCTCTCTCTCTCTCTCTCACACACACACACACACACTCACACACACACACACACACACACTCACACACACACACACACATATTCATGCACAGATTAAATAAATTAAATTTAAAAAATTCAAACAAGCATTTAGCAAACATTTCCTGAGTGCAAGAGTGATGCCATCATACCAGTCTAAATCATAAATCTCCTTCCTACTCCATTATGTTCATCCTGTGTCTTCTAGTTTTACCAATGAGTCTTGTACCAGCTCTGCTAGAATCACCAAAGGCACAATGGTAAAAATGCAGTCCCCCAAGCTCTGTCCCACATTCAATGAATTAGTGTTAAGAAATTTTAAATATTAGCATCCTCATGTGATCCAAAGCAAGTTTCATAATCACTGGTTTATAGTACTTATGATGCTCTACCTTGGATGAATATTACATGTATATATAAGAGATACTCAAAATATACATATTTTACATAATGGTGAGTTCTACATCCATTGATTCTACCTAGATAAAAATTGTTTGCTAATTGTCTATAGTGAACATGTATGAATATTTTCTTACCCTTATATCCTCAAGAATACAATGTCATAGCTATGTATGTAATATTTACATTCTATTGGGTATTATAAGTAATACAAAGATGATTTAAAGTATATGGGCAGTTTTGCATAGGTTTTATCAAATATTTGCCATTTTGTACATGACTTTTATATCTATAGGTTTTGATATCCAAAGTCCCAGAAACAACTTTCATGGATACCAAGGACAATGTTTATGAGTCCTACTTAAATAAATACTTTGACTTTATTGAGACAGCATCCCACTGTGTAGCCCAGACTAGCCTTGAAATCCCAGTATTCCTGCCTCTATCAATTAAGGACTGGGATTAAACATGTACCATCACATACGGTAGGACTTTAAATGTTTAAAGATAGGGATCATTAATTTGCTCAGTGTGGTAGTTCGAATAGGTATGGCCCCCCCATCGACTCACGTGTTTCAATGCTTGGCCCATAGGTAGTAACATTATTAGGAGGTGTGGCCTTATTGGAGTGGGTGTGTCATTGTTGGAGGAAGAGTGTCACTGTAGAGGTTGGCTTTGATGTCTGCATGCTCAAGCTACACCTAGTGTGGTACACACCGTATTCTTTTGCTGCCTATGGATAAGGATGTATAGCTCTCAGCTCCCTCTCCAGCACCTCTGCCTGCATGCCACCATGTATCTCACCAAGACAATAATGGACTAAACTTTTTTTTTTAATATTTATTTATTATGTATACAATATTCTGTCTATGTGTATCTCTGCAGGCCAGAAGAGGGCACCAGACCTCATTACAGATGGTTGTGAGCCACCATGTGGTTGCTGGGAATTGAACTCAGGACCTTTGGAAGAGCAGGCAATGCTCTTAACCTCTGAGCCATCTCTCCAGCCCCTGGACTAAACTTGTAATACTATAAGTCAGCCCCAATTAAATGCTTTCCTTTTGTAAGAGTTGCCATGGTCATGGTGTCTCTTCAAAGCAAAAGAAACCCTAACTAAGACAGTAACCATTTTTTATTTTACAGTGCTGGAGGTTGTACCCAGGGCCTCATGAATATTTCTGGAAAAGACTCTCTAGTATGTGTACACAGGTATTTAGGGTTTCGTTCTTTTTTAAGACCCTGGGTTATCTTACTATGTGGCTATGTTTAACAGCCCTGATCTGGAAGCATGCAGCCCTCTGCTACTTACGTATTGTCTGGCAAGATGCCTTGCGTTGGGATCTGCTGTAATGACATTCAGATGTTACAGTTCTGACTGGCTGTACAGCATTAGTCCTGCAAGAGTGCTTTGCAAATAATAGAGACTGCAGAGAATGAGGCAACTCCCCAGCACTACTTCTCCATTTTAGTGCCTGCTTTTTCTGCTCTGTACTAGTAAAAGGCAGTTTAGACCCTTCTGACTTCCTGCTGCCCCATAGCCTGCAGTGCTGCAGTTAAGTAGACAAAACAATCCCCATGTTGTATTTTGTTATTACTAGAAATTTAGGAACTTAATATTAACACACCAGAAAAGGTGTTCTGGGAAGTATATGCAGAAATTCCTTCACCATTACTATAAAACTAAGATATCACAAGTCATACTTTCATGAATATATTGATTAAAATCCAAAAATAACAAAAATGAATATTTTTTACCTGTGATCCCTCGATCTCACGATGGAAACTTTCGGTGGTTTCTCTGACCAAAGCCGTCAATGCTTCATATTCAGGTGATGAGCAATTGACTTCTTGTTCTATGTCTATATTAATTCCATCCATATATTGTATTTTGGCCAAATTAACTTTTTGAGCTATCCACGATGCTCTGAAGGTAGGATCAATGATGTCCTTCAGGGAGACATCACCTTTGGAAGACACAGACATAATTATACAGATGCTTTTTCAAAGTTAAAAGCCATTTACTTACTTCACAAAGCCCAAAATGTCTTTCAGACACATCATAATCTTTGGAATGTTAAGCCTCTAATGTGCTTTCCAAATGGAGAAATCGTATGCCAAATAGCAGCCACTGCTGACTAATCTTCAAAATGGTCATTATGAGTAAAATCACTCTCAGAAGCAGCACTTGTAGGCCAGAAATAAAGGTCAGCATGCTGTAATTGGCAATCACATTTTCTCAAGAACAAGTGGTTTTATTTAACTCTTAAAAAAAAAAAAAGCCGGGTGGTGGTGGTGCACGCCTTTAATCCCATCACTCGGGAGGCAGAGGCAGGCGAATCTCTGGGAGTTCGAGGTCAGCCTGGTCTACAAGAGCTAGTTCCAGGACAGGCACCAAAAAGTTATAGAGAAACACTGTCTTGAAAAACCAAATAAATAAATACATACATACATACATACATAAAAAGATCAGTATTGTTGGACTAGATTTACCAGTATCTACAATTAACTTTAGGTCTTGAAGAAGAAAGGCATAAAAAAGGACTATAGTAAATAAAACACATACTTTTTTTCCATTGGCTAGGCACATGTGTCTGCTAATAACATACCTTTTAGCACTACTCTGGCTCCTTTGGAATGAGCATAACACATAAGTTCTGGGTCATATTTTCCAAAAACTGCCACAGTTGTAATCTGTGACCAGTCATAAGATTTCCAAGTTTTCTGTCCAACATCAAATATAAAGACCTGCCAGGAAAAGAGGGGTGGACACCAACACTGAATCCGAGATTATTATACTGACATCCAGATACGTGAACCACTTCCCTGTCAGGTATTGTGGTGGACCCTGGGCACAGAGTGCAGGATGAAGACATCAGGCTACCAGCGGAACTGCTGGCTCCATGGGCCTGGAAGAAGCACTGGCTATTGTCAAGGCCTGAAGACAAAAAGAGCACAGTGACTATGAATGTTTACTATGGCAGACACCTAGGATTTAGAGAAAGTACAGAAAAGAAGCAGAGAATGGTTAATCTGGGGTAAACTGTGAGTGGCTGTGTCAGTAATTCAGCCCTATTGAGAAGTTAGCATCCTGAGGGAAATGGAGAGAACAAACACTTTAGTATAATGGACTCACCTAAGAACATCACTCATCTAGACTAAGGTAGCCACTGACACACCAAACTGTATCTCAGTGAACTTCTACATAGAATCAGTGGCAATTCTGAAGTCTGACGCCACGGAGGTTCACTTAAGGTTTTACTATCGATTAAATATATATATCTTCCAAACAAGCAAAACAAAACAAAAAGCTTGTGACAGAGTTGAAATGAGAAAACCGTCCACTTTCCACATTTATGGTTTTTGTGTTGTTTTGCCTGCGTTCCTCATCACCTAATGTTAGGACACAAAGATTTTTTAAAGGAAAAGGAATGCATCTAAAAAAAAAATCTGCTGCTGAAGTGAGAAAGGGGCCCAAACTGGAATCACAGGAGGGAAGTGTTGGGGTGGATGAGATGAGATCATAAGTGGGGGCCCCGCAAAGGTGGCAGCAGTGCAGCTGACATCAGAGTTTGATGAGCTCCAGCTTCTTCCTGTTTCAGATGGAGCCACAGATGTTGGTTGTTTCTCTGTGTGCTCTTGATGGAGCTGACTTAGAGTAGCAGTCAAGTCCAATTTTAAAGTAATTTGTTCCTCCAGCATCCTTCCCCCGTCAAAGATAATTCTAGAGGCACAACAGCATCACTGTTCATGTTCCTTTTACCTCAAGGTATTAATTTATGGATCTTGTAAATTCTGAATGAATTCCAGTAAAATGTAGGAGAGGCATTTTGCTCTGCACTAGAGGCACAGAAAGACCAAGGTGTCCCCTAGGAAATTAATTACAATAGCATTAAGGCATGCAAGGAGATGCAGGAGCCTGTGATACGATATAAAGGGAATCTGCTAGTCAGGTGACAAATTCACGATGTCTGCAAGTTAGGGGACTTCTACAACCTGCATGATGAAAAGGAAGATATACACAAGTGAACATTTGCAGACAACGAAGTCAAAGTCCTTACAACTAGGTATTCTGAGACTCTAGAACCAAAGGCAGCTACAACACAGAAATGCTAACGAGAATGGAACCATATAAAATTAATAAGTCAGGCGACAGTCTCAAGCAGCATTTTGGGGACCACAGGAGGATGGAGGGGAAGGGCTGTGTAAAGCACTAACCATAATCGTAAAGGCCAACATTTAATTCTCTCATCCTCCCTCTTATCCTTTAGAATTAACTATGCATAGTTAATTTTTTTCCTGCCAAGCAACTATCCAATAAACTACACACAAAATGTGAAACTGAATGGCCCAATGTTTAATTTCTCATAGTTAAGATTCAATTTGTTAAAAACAAAAACCCCATCTAGGGCCTTTGATAAAACAGTAAGCACTCTCAATCTTGGAAATACAAAGGAAGAGGGTGTTGGGTCTGGCATGGTGGAGAATGGTGTCGTGTTTAGGTGACTATTACGGTGATGAACACCAGGGCCAAAGCAGCTTGGGGAGGAGAGGGTTTATTTAGTTCATGCTCCCACATCACCGTTCATCCTCACAGGAAGTCAGGACAGGAACTCGAACAGCACAGGAACCTGGAGGATTGCTCGGCCTGCATTCTTGGAGACTCCAGTGTAGTGAGGAGCGGTGGGCTGCATTCCCACCCAGCTCCCGCATGGCTAGCTTTATACCGGAAATAATTACACGGAAACTGTATTTTTTTAAACACTGCTTGGCTCATTAGCTCTAGCCTCTTACTGGCTAATTCTCATATCCTAATTAACCCATTTCTAATAATCTGTGTAGCACTATGAGGTGGTAGCTTACCAGGAAGGATCTTAACCTGCGTCCATCTTGGAGAGTAGAGCTATGGCGACTGCCTCATTTCCCTTCTTCCCAGCATTCTGTTCGGTCTACTCCGCCTATCTAAATTTTGCCCTATCAGGCCAAGCAGCTTTCTTTATTAATTAACCAATGAAAGCAACAGATAGACATATGACCCTCCTCCATAACCCCAGGACCACTTGCCCAGGGATGGGCTCCCACGTCAATCACTGATTAAGAAAATTCCCTACAGGCTTGCCTACAGCAGGTTTCTCAACTGATGACCCCTCCTCTCTGAAGACTCCAGTTTGTGTCGAGTTGATGGAAAGGCAGCCAGTACAAACGGTGTTCATCCTCAAAGCACAGTTCAGACCCAGTATCCCCCCCCCCCCCCCGCCCCAAACACACACATATTCAGGGGGAGGGAGGTCGCATCATCTAGTCTTCCCATTTCAAAAAACAAAAAGCCAGTGAAGGCCTCGTTACTATGAGTATATGAGTGAGCAGAATTTTGTTTCTTTGTAATTCAAAAAGCTCACAAATACTATATAACCCACTAAGTACTGAGTACCACAATAAATCAGACTGTTAAAACCACTTAATTAGGGAGAGGAGCTTCAGGCTGAAACCAGTCAACTGACTAATCTCTGAGTAGGTAAGTCCAGCCAGATCATAAAAATGTAAACAACTATCCTTTGCCAACCAACTACTTCTCTTCCAGATTCGGCCAAGAATAAAAGGCCCATTACTCAGGATCTTAACTTCTGAGCTTTCTATGAGTGCTGCCCATGACCACTGCTCAAAGAAACGTTAATGGATCCAAATCTTTCCCTTTGTAGGATGTTAGGTTTCCACAGTAGGCAGAATCTACAAAAACAGTCACTATTTTTTCTAAACAATGTGTGCAAACACAGGGATTTAAATAATCTATGCCTCAAAACCAAATACAAGGTTAAGACCCATGAATTGTTCCTTCTTTGCACAAATTTGTTAGACTCTGACCTCTTTTGACTTCCTCTAGGTCCAGCTACCGCTGTCAACTCGTTATGTGGCTCCATAAGTCTTAAGATTGGGTTAAAGGAACGTTTACTCAAATACTTGTTTTTGTCCCACTCCTGCGTGGGTGAGCGTCCTTAACGAAAGAACTAATCCGCAACAAGAGTAAAGGTCAGGAGAACCGGATCGCCTACCCTCGCCGCAGGAGGCTGAGCTGGCGGGAACAGGAGCCAGCCTTGGGAAAACCGTGAGGCTGGAGCACTAGCGGGCTCAGGCCGCGGCCAGGGAAACCGCCGCACCCAGAGTTCCCGTCTACTCGGAAGGGAATCCGAAAAGAGGAAGGCTCGGGTGGTTAACGCCGCTGTGAGCGCCGCGACTTCTCTCGGCCAGACCGAGGGGCAGAGGGAGTGCTCACCTCGAAGTCGGGGCGATGGCGGATCGGTCGGCAGAGCGCGGCGTCCGAGCACGGGCAGTCCCCGGCCGAGAGCTGGAGCGCCATCAGCATTAGCAGCAGCAGCTGCGGGAGTCCCGGGACAGCAGGCAACTCCATGCCTGGCGTGCGGGAGGCCGGAAGGCACCGCCTGAGGGGCGGGGCCTGCTGCTGAGGGGCGGGGCCGGCCTACTGCGGGGTGCCTGTGGCCTAGAGGGCGGGGCCTGTTCGGTGGGGGTGGGGCCTAGAGGGCGGGTCCTACTGCAGTGGGGATAACTTGGGGCCTACCAGGTATCTCAGCTGGACTGCTTTTATCTTCTCTGTCCCTTTTCACCATGCCATGGTGGTGTGTTCTGAAGGATTTTTTGCTCATCCATCTTACAATTGTTTTAGAATCACTTGCTTAGCATTGCTCCCCCCTCGTATCCATGCCGGAAGCTCAGTGCAAGCTTGGCTTGTAGTAAATACTTAATAAACCGGTCATAAATACTTAATAAACTCCAAGAGCTCATGTTTTCTTTCTAAAACTAAAATTCGATCAAAAAGAAAAAAAAAGGGGGCATTCTTTACCAAGTCTCTACACAGGATGTTAAAGGAAACATGTAAAATAAATGGAGTGATATTATTATCTTATTACCAGATTTTGCTTGTGTGTATTGTGATTTTCCAGCATGAACTAAAGTGGATTTAAAGATAAAAATTCTGAGCTGGGCGGTGGTGGCGCACGCCTTTAATCCCAGCACTCGGGAGGCAGAGGCAGGCGGATCTCTGTGAGTTCGAGACCAGCCTGGTCTACAGAGCTAGTTCCAGGACAGGCTCCAAAGCCACAGAGAAACCCTGTCTCGAAAAACCAAAAATAAAATAAAATAAAGATAAAAATTCTGTGCAGTGATCTTGGATTAGAGTCACAACTTCATGAAGCGCCTTTTTTTTTTTTTTTTTGATTTTTTCGAGACAGGGTTTCTCCGTAGCTTTTTTTTTTTTTTTTTTTTTTTTTGGTTCCCGTCCCGGAACTAGCTCTTCTAGACCAGGCTTTTTTTTTTAAAATATTTATTTATTTATTTATTTATTTATTCATTATGTATACAATGTTCTGTCTGTGTGTATCCCTGCAGGCCAGAAGAGGGCACCAGACCTCATTACAGATGGTTGTGAGCCACCATGTGGTTGCCGGGGACCTTTGGAAGAGCAGGCAATGCTCTTAACCACTGAGCCACCTCTCCAGCCCCTAGACCAGGCTTTTTGTTATCAGAACATGACAGGGCAATTTCAGCAGGCTCCATCACAATGGTTCTCAGCCTTCTGTAGCACGAGTTCTAATCCGTCTTAATGACAAAAACCCAGAGTCAGCTGTTAGGGGGTGGAAACAGACAGATCACAGAAGCAGAGCAGTCACTAGTTCTTACCTCGACAAGATCCTCCAGCTGAATGGGGTGTCTGTCTATACAAGTCCTCAGACTGAATGTCTCCTCCAGCCCTACACTCCTCTCTCTGCCCAGCCATTTCCCTTCCTGTCTCTACCTCCCTCAGGAAAGTATTAAGGGCTTGTGACTCCCAAGTACTGGGTTAAAGGTGTGAGCCATCACTGCCTGGCCCCTATGACTAACTAGTGGCTTAGCTCCACACTCCGATCCTCAGGCAAGCTTTATCTATTATTGCACAAACAAAATATCACCACAGCCTTCCTAATGCTGTGACCCTTTAGTAGTTTCTCATGTGTGATGAGCCCCCTCCCCTAACAATAAAACTGTTTTCACTGTTAATTCATAATGAAAATGCTTGCTACTGTTTTGAATTGCACTGTAAATAACTGTGTTTTCTGCTGGTCTTAAGCGACCCCTGTGAAAATGGTCCTTTGACTACCCCCTACCACGGTTGCGGCCCACAGGTTGAGACCCACTGTTCTATCAGATCCTGGGGTTGCTCCAAAGTTTTTCTGCTTAGCAAGTGTATTAAATGCTAGAAAGCAAGCACATTTTGGAAATTATTGCATTTCCTTGGGGAATTCTGTTTAAGCATCAACAGGAATAAATATTCTCTTTATGGCTCTAAAGGAAACTTAATGCCATTAAACTCATAATAACAATTAAAACACCAATTATAACATATGAGTTTAAATTTCTTATAAACCCCCTAAAGACCAATAAAAATTTAAGTGCTGTGAATAATTTTCCCAGAACAAAAGTATTATCAAAACAAAGACCTCCCTGAGCTCTCTGAGAAGAGGATCAAGTTTAAGGTAACTTGAGACAGAATAAGTTAATTTACTTCTAATCTTTGCAGGTTGGCTTTCTCATCTGAAACGCCCTTCCTGTTGCTGTAATTAAAAAGGTTGTGCTGGCTCACAGTTCAAGCTTACAGTCTACGACAGCGGTCAAGTCAAGGCAACAGGATCTTGAAGCAGCTGGCCACGATCAGATAGCAGGACAAATGCGTGCAGGCCTTCAGCTGGCCTTCCCCTCTGCAGTGCAGGAAATCAGCAGAGGACGGTGCAACCGAGGTGGCGGTCTCCCTCCCACAATGAACTGATCATAGGCTTGTCCAGTGGGCACCTAACCCAGATAGCCCGTGCATGGAGGCTGACATCCTAGACCATCAAGCTGACAATTAACACTATCAGATTCCATCCCCGTGATGTCTTCTTGGGGTCTGCAGTCGCTAGCACGTTTTTCAGTCTCCTGTGATGAGGGTGTTGAGTGGAATTCTGCTCGCCACTTCCCCTCCCGCCACTCCGATATGATAGATTCCTTACACCGGCATCGGCACAGCAGCCACGGAAGGTAGGCGTGACAGACAATGAAGCTAAACCAGAGTGCATGGTCGGCGGAACCCATCTTACTAATGTGATGCCGGGATTTGACCTGAGCTTGCCTCAGCAGACACTCTTGTTTTTCAGGGTTTTTCCATCTAAACCTGATGTGTGCCTCGAGGGTTGATTGTAGCTTGATGATAGTAAGACATGGAGCTAAGATTTCAGCTTGGACCAGGTAGTTGCAAGTCTGTGATCTTCACAATGATGCCAAATAGTCTCCATTTTCCACCAGGGAGGGGCAGCACTCAAGCTGCTCCAGAGCCTATGCTCTGGCCTCTGAGCAAGTGATCTTTCCACCTGCCACACGATGGAAACCAATGGAGATTAGAGATGGCGGCCACGCTGCTGGCCAGGTCTCTCTGTTAACATGCCAAGACTCTCTGTACTGAAGAGCAGATGGAACCTGCTCATCTTCAGCACCTTCTAGCCGCAGTGCTATTGTGGGGTATCTGACTGCACTATGACACTCAGTAAGCCTTGAGTTGGTACAGAGATGCTCCTTAGAGCCAAAGGTGTGTTTACTGCCTGTCAACCAGAGGCGCACATTCTTCACTCAACTTAAGCTGAGACATCCGGTCAGCACGAGATTGCATTTCTGTGACCATACCTAAGTGTTGCACTAACTCAACTGTTCGTGTTCCCTTGCACACTCTGAGATTGTTTCCATGCCAGGATGGCAGGCTATGTGTCGCATCACTGGAGCCCAGACACTGTTACAAAAATGTTAGCCATGGGCCGGGCGGTGGTGGCGCACGCCTTTAATCCCAGCACTTGGGAGGCAGAGGCAGGTGGATCTCTGTGAGTTCGAGACCAGCCTGGTCTACAAGAGCTAGTTCCAGGACAGGCTCCAAAACCACAGAGAAACCCTGTCTCGAAAAACCAAAAAAAAAAAAAAAAAAAAAAAAAAATGTTAGCCATGATTCTTTAATAAGGGGGCAGCAGAGGCAGCTCACTGACTAAAAGATCTTGCTGCTCTTACAGAGGACCCAAGTTCAGTTCCCAGCCACACACCAGGCAACTCACAAACCACCTGTAACTCTAGCTCCAAGGATTCCAACACCCTTTGACCTCTGTGCACACCACATGTAGTCGTCCCACCCCAACAAAATAGCAAAGGAATCTGGATAAAAAGGTAACTTCATGCATATTAGGTGGTGAAGGCCATTATAATGCTTGCACTTCACGTTGAGAGACTGCGCACTGCATTGGTGGGTTACAACTTCTAAGTGATGGCATGCTGGAGGGCCGCATAAGACTTCCTCCACGCACCGCGCCCGTGTCTGCGCTCTGTGTGCTAGCACCCAGTTACTGAGCTTCAGGCAAGGGGCTGGAGGTTAAAATACACAGACACACACAGACGTAGAGACAGCAACACGGGTCATCCTTGAATTCCCCAAGAATGCCCCCTTTATTGTGTTCAGGGGCAGATTATATAGAGATAGCCATGCCCCAGCCAAACCCACCAGAAACCACTCTCCTGCCATCAGGAACTCCTGAAGGTCTCATGCTCAGAGCAGCTGTAGGCACTCAGATCAGGGGATTACAAGAAATTCAGGATCTGGGGTCTCACTGCTCCCAACATAAGACCTGATGGGAAATGGTGCTATTAGCTGGGCGTGGGTGTGGTTTATAACGCATCATAAACTGGAGCAATAGGCACATGTCTGAGATAGCTCTGTGCAGCCTAGATCGGCTGGGTAGCTTTCCGTTTCACCTGGTGTTTCTTAGAATCACACAATACAGAAACAGAGGCAAGGTTTACATTATGCATAAATTTATCCCCTTATATTTATTTGAATTTGTACAAATTTCTGGGGTTTCCTTGGTTTTCGTAACACATGTAAGCAAATGTTAAGAGCTATTTACTGGACACAGTACAACTTGTTTCTCTCTGAGGAACTGCCAGTATCTGAGGCCGGACTCAAAGGAACCAGTTCTGGGGAAGGGGGCTGGGGCAGAACTAAATGAAACTCCAACTGGAGTTGCTTCAAGAAGGCACACAGCACACACAGGGTGACCATTCATTACAGCTGAGGCTGTGGCCCAGGCCAGTCACAAGCAGCCCCATCACTCTTAGAACTTTCCCGCAAGTGTGTGGCTCTCTGTAGCCATCAAGACAGAGCCGTAACAACAGAATGTTATGGACTGATCGGGTGTCTGCAAAGCAAAGCCACCCTCCAGAGGGATTCTTGAGTCAGTAGGAATGTCACTCCAGGATGTCACATGGAAGCCACTGTGTTTAGAATAGGAACACTTGTCTCTGGCCCTTACCACCAAGTTCAGAGTTCACCTGAGATTTACCAGTCCTCCTGGGCCTTGCAGGAGCAAAGTTTAGCTTAAAAGCATATGTGAATGGTGTCTACGCCAAGACATTTCCTCTGGACAAAAACGAGCAACGGAGCTGTAGGAGGACAAGGTCTATGCTAGGCTTTCACGTTCCAGCAAATCATTTCTCTTTTTAACTGTTTACTTTTGACAACAATATGCCAAAGCACTGTGTGGCTGGATTTCTGTTTATCTTTGAGGCATTAGCCGGGGAAATTTTGTTTGGGAAGATTAATTTCACTGACATCAAATAACAGATTTTTTTAAGCGATTGTTCCTGTGCTTAAGTAGAATAAAATTACCAAAGAGTAGGCCTTTTACCTTTCATGAAAAAAGGGGTTTCTAAAAAACTATAAAACCACAGGCTTTTAAAGCCTTTTATTATATTCCTTTTATATAAACTTCTAACTTTAATATGTGGGCAGATTAAGGGATATCTTAATTTTCTTAATATGGAGTGTTTAATATGAGCATGTTCAGTAAGTCATATCAATGAAAATCATTAGCTAAAATAAAATAGTTCAAAGACTTAAAGCAAAAGGGCTTCTCAAGATTAAAAAAAAAAAAAAGCAAGAAAATTGCTTACAAACCATTCCTGTTCCCCAAAGCACTCTGCTCCACACAGGCCGAGAAGCGCACTTCACTGAACCTCTCTCTGCACCGAGTGAACACCAGACATGCAGGGTTAATGTGAGTCCACTCTAGTGCAGAATTAAAAAAAAAAAAAATCAGGAACTGCAGCAATGTGGAAGCTAGAGACCCGGGCATCCGAAGACACCAGTGTTGTTCACCAGTGCTCTGGTTTCACTCCGGCTAGTTCTGCAACCTTAGGTTACCATCCAACACGAGCTTGTTATAAATCCTGAAAAGGTGTTAATATTCTTTCAGAGGCCTATTGAAAGAGCCAAAACAAAATGTGTTCTGTACACTGTATTTTAATAACTAAATGGGTAAAATTCCATTTAAACATTTTAAAATCTATTATGAAAAAGATTTTAAATTAAAGTGTCTCTTCCAAAGATAATGTTTGAAGCTTCCACAATCACCAGGAAATTCACTGCAGCTCTCTGCTTGTGTAATTACTGAGTAGATGAACTATCAGCATCAACTATATGGCACCCCACAGCAGGCTGCCGAGGCTCACAAAGAGCTGTTCACTCCTCCCGCTACTGCGGCCAGGCTGCTGCAGCCGGGCTGGGACCTTAGAAGATGGCTCACTCTCCCCTAGTAGGCTCTTTAGGACCTGACAATGCTGGAGCCACATGTTCTCCTTGAGTGAGATGAAGACGGGGCTGCCTGAGCCACACAGGAATGTGAGCCATTTATAGTACATCGTGAACTTTTACTGAGCGTAGTGTGATCTGCTTACCCTAAAACTCTGCAAGGACTCAAGCACAGACCTCAGAAACAATACAGGACCTGCCGTCTCAGCGAGCAGAGCTTCAGAACTCAGTAAGGCCAGTGTCACTGCCCCTTCTTCCAAGAAAGAACTCTGCCACTTGATCACCCTGATCAACAGATACACCTCCCCAACAGATATTGTCTGTTAAGTGACACACTTGATAAAGACATTCCAAGGTTTTACGGGCAAACACCGACGTGAGTCTGAACATGCCAATGGATGTCAGCATTTCCTCAACCCTTTGAAATGTGTTATTCACGAGGGTTCACAAAAATAAAACTTCAACTAGACAATTGGTTGTAGATAGTCCATTCATTTAATCAGTAGTCCATTCATTTAATCAGTAGTCCATTCCATTCTAATTTACATTCAGCCCTGGGGCAAGGGGGGGGGGTGAATCACCAAACATTCAATTCAGAAAAAAAGAAAAAAAAAAGAAGGAAATCACCTATTTCACAATCTCATCTGCATGCACATCTTTGCTTAGTTTCTGTTGGATGATAATCCATCTCTTCCCTGCGGGAATAAAGTCTTATCTGCTTTGTATATCGACATTTGTGGGGAAAAAAATAAATGTATTCTATAGTGCATCTGACGGGAAATAGTGGCAGGGCTTGTGGAAGCCAAGCACTGCTACCATTACAACACGGGCAAGCGGGGGACCTGGAGCAGACCAGACAGATGCAGGACTAACACACCAGTGGTTTATGACAACTGAGGTTTTACAGCCAGCATTCAACTCAGGGATTCTCAGGGATGGGGTGAGTAGGCCCATCTTCTGATCCTCAGGGGCCAGCATGACAAACACAGACGCGACAAACAGCAGGTCCTCCGCCCATGCTTACTGAAGGAAGAATGAACACGAGCACAGGCAAGGTGTGTTTACTGCAGTCACACAATTCCACCCAAGAGCATGCCCACACTGGTGTGTATACTTCCAAGAGCATGCCCACACACTGGTGTACACACTTCCAAGAGCATATCCACACTGGTGTACACACTTCCAAGAGCATGTCCACACTGGTGTGTACACTTCCAAGAGCATGTCCACACTGGTGTACATACTTCCAAGAGCATGCCCACACTGGTGTGTACACTTCCAAGAGCATGTCCACACTGGTGTGTACACTTCCAAGAGCATGTCCACACTGGTGTGTACACTTCCAAGAGCATGTCCACACTGGTGTGTACACTTCCAAGAGCATGTCCACACTGGTGTGTACACTTCCAAGAGCATGTCCACACTGGTGTACACACTTCCAAGAGCATGCCCACACTGGTGTGTACACTTCCAAGAGCATGTCCACACTGGTGTGTACACTTCCAAGAGCATGTCCACACTGGTGTACACACTTCCAAGAGCATGTCCACACTGGTGTGTACACTTCCAAGAGCATGTCCACACTGGTGTACACACTTCCAAGAGCATGTCCACACTGGTGTGTACACTTCCAAGAGCATGTCCACACTGGTGTGTACACTTCCAAGAGCATGTCCACACTGGTGTGTACACTTCCAAGAGCATGTCCACACTGGTGTGTACACTTCCAAGAGCATGTCCACACTGGTGTGTACACTTCCAAGAGCATGTCCACACTGGTGTGTACACTTCCAAGAGCATGTCCACACTGGTGTACACACTTCCAAGAACGCTAACAGCAGGGTAGTCACAGAAGGCTTCGTTAGTTCGCAGTGTTCCAAGCTCCCACACTTAGAAGCCACCCCTGCTGTCCTAGGGCCTTTCAGACGGATCTACCCAGGGGAAGTTAACTGGATTCCAGGCACCAGTCTCATCATGCTCCATAGAATACGTTCTCCTACAAAAACCAAGTTATTAAAAAGCCTTTCGACAACCTCACTTAGCTAGGAGAGGAGCCTCAGAATTCCTCCCAAATAACATACTGTATTCCATTACACAACGAGGCAGACAACCTGCTGTGGACAGTCCTGTAAACCTAAGTCATCTAATATTTGCTTCTCTAAGAAAATACTCCTTTATTAAATCCTAGCCACGGTCTTCTCTGTCACGATTTTTCTATTAGGCTTCTAATCATTGTAAAGTTACTTAAGAGAAGGAAACTATCTCAAGTTTTCAATTCCATTTTTAAGCTTTGAAAATTCAAAATGGGTATGTCAAGTATGTACAAACCAACTTGATGTACAAAGTTTCAGATTTCTATATTGATAAACAATAACAATAATGATAAAGCACATACAATTACCAGGAGGCTTTCTAGCCGGGAGACACTGGCACTATCAATGGGGTCAGAGGACCAGCATGGCTGTGTTGCTGGCACATTGCAAAGGTTTGCAAATCAAGAGGCAGAGCCCCGGGAGCTTTCCCATCAACCCATACTCTCCAGCACAGCACACTCAACTCTCTGGGAAGCCTGGTGATCTGGGATCATTTTAAAATAGGAGTGGGCAGCAAAACAAGAGAGCTAGGAAGATGTACGGCTTTTGGCAGATTTGTGCACACCCCTAAAGCAGAGAGATCTGGTTCTCTTCCACAGTTTCCTTCGCACCTTAAAGTCTCAGGAATTTCTTTGTGGTATGAGAGCCTCAGCTTGTGCTGGAATGCAAACACAGCAAAAAAGCAGGTGTTCCTTTCCAGAAAACCCTCCTCATGGAATACAGCACAGCTATGATGAAAAACAGGAATGCTTCTATCTGGCCAAGGCTGTCATGGAGACAGACCCCTGTGGAGATGTGGGATAGAAATAATCAGAAACTACTTCAAAACTTTGATTGCCTTTCTTCAACAGTAAGGCAATTCTATCCCAGCTGGGTTTCCTCCTCTGGACTACAGCAGTATCTCTGAAATGTCACATTTTAAAGAGTAAGGAAATGATCATGCACCAGGCTGAAGGTAGCGACTCTCACACACAAGCTAGCTCCTTGACCTGTGAGCATAGCTACCAGCAAAAGGACGCTTAGTAGGCAGCAGTGCCTCCGTAGGCCGTGCTGTCTGAGCAGCCCCACACAAAGTCACCCAGTCAATGGACAACACAGTTTTCTCATTTGGTAGCATGATGAATTTAATGCAAGAGCCACAAACAGGGCCAAGGAAAGAGAAAGGCGGACGGGACTAACCTGCATGGTTGAGCAAGGACTCATGTTGGCGTCTATGAGCAGAGACAAGCAGGGTGAGGCACTTAAAAGCTTTTGGATGAATCCATCCAGGAGAAGCCTGGCCTAGGTCTACATTTATTATTACTGTCATCACTATCAATAATAACATACTTCTCAGGAAGAAACATGCAGCAGAAACATGAGACAAAAGAGCCTAAGATTGTTCTGAAAATGAACTGACATGAGTGTCCAGAATGTCATATCTCAATTACAAAAGCCAATGTTTTACACTGTCTTATTTCTGTAGTAGTAGTATCTAGTTGAAAATTTTTTAATTACAAAATTATTGGCAATGATATAAAGCCCTGGCTGGTACAGATATTACTGTACTGGTACCCATTTGGTAAGGAAAATATCACCATCCAGCTATATTAAATATCCTTTATCATCCAAATATCTTAAACCAACCCTCTTATACTATAATTCAAAGACACTTTTATCTTTCCCCCATTACTCCATAATCAATATTCCTCTTAGAAATAATAACATTCACATATATAAAATAAAATATAATGCTTTAAAAATCTCAAAAATGTAGTGTTAGTAGTTCTAGTTGTCATGGAGTTGCTTTGAATTTTTATTGCCCAGATGGCTTAAAAATAAAATCTTAAATGTCAGGTGGCAGTTGTCCTAGCACATCTGTAAACGCAATGCCACTGAAGACACTGGCATTAAACACTATACTCTAGCATTGTGTGGAATTTTAAACCTTAAAGCCTCTTAACATAATCATGTATATCTATGTACAGAACATACATAAATTTCACTTTATGTAAAACATGAAAGAGGTAATCCCAAAATCACACTAAACATAATAAATATAGAACTTGCTTTGTTAAAAATCTACAGTATACATTCAAGTAAAGGCTAAACTTCCAATGCCAACCATATTTGGGACAAAAATTTAATGTTTTCAATAATAGGTCCCCTAAAAGTGCTATTCTCAATACCTGGAAGAGGAAATTCATTCTAGTGCTTCTGTTCCCATCCAAACACACACTCCTTTAGTCACAGAGCCGGCGGCTTCTGTCACTAACACACACCCAACGCCTTTGCATCCTTTTCAACAGCTTAGCATTGCAGCTCTTTGGGGGAAGACGGGGTCCAGACAAACCACCCAGACCATCTTCAATTAGACGACTGACTTTATCACACACCCTGTTTGACTTAAACGTAAACGCATCCGGATGCACAGTTCAGCGAGAGCACCGCCATCTGTGCATCTAAGGTAAGTCGTCTCTCTCCATGTGAGAATTTGTGTAGGCCGAGGAGCAGCCACTGTAGCAACCTTCCCGTGAGCTGGGTCTCGACACCACACTCCACTTCTGATTCGTACATTCTCGTCCAGCCTCATTTGGTTTAGTTTCTTCAGGAGTTATATTCAGCACATTGATTGAACTCCTGGAAGAAATAAGATAAATCTTAATAACTAATTATCTGCTTCTTGTTTAGAGCAGACAGATGTTCCTGACAAGTCTGACTGCTGCTTGTCTGCTAACAATACCTTTCGGGAAGCCACTTGACAAGAGAAGGCGGCACACTTAGAGCTGGCTCTATTTGAGACTTCCATCTAGTCACTAGGTACAGGCCTGAGCAGGAAGATCTTCCCAGGGCAGATCAAGACTTTCCTGTGTTCACAGGATGACCCGATCCAAATGAACACCATCCCGTCTCACCTTCCACAGCGCTTCCTGACTATAGTACTGACCACAGTCTGCTTCCCATGAAGAAAACCAGAGTACTGTTCTTGCAAAACGCTTGTGTCCTTTTCCCCCCTACTCTTAATATTTGTCCTGTAACTCTTAGATTACTGACATAGAAATACAGACTAAATTATTCTATAAAATGATATGTTTGGGTTTAAACTGCTTTAATACTTTCTCCATAGGCAGAAATCTACTTTATCACCCTGAGGAAGTGGTTTTTCTTGGTTCTTTGCCTTTCAATCAAAGAAACTTAAACTATGTACTCTGAAAAACTATAAAAATGGCAGTTTTCAATACTTAAGTGACTCCTGATATGAGTCACCCCTGTCTGTCTTCTAAGGCAGGATCTCACTAGGCAGCCCTGACTAACTTAGAATTCACTGTGTAGAACAAGCTTGCCTCAGACTTTGAGAGATTCGCCTGCCTCTGTCTCCTGAGAGCTGGCATGAAGGCTGTGCACCATCCATGGCTGGTCCACAAGTCCACACTTTAAATTGTTCTCCATTAGACTTCTATACCTAGCACAAAGCCTCACACACTGGGAACCTCTGTGCATGCAGATTCCTCTCCAAAGCCTCTACTGTCACAAATACTATACGTAACAACTTCTCCTAAGCAAGCCAACACTGACCATTTTAGAAGTATGCGACACAGCCGTTTAAAAACAAATACCTGTGTTCAGACACACAGGAGCGTGTCTGGCAAATGTCTGAAGTAGAGGGTGAAACAGGTAGAGACTTAGTCAGTTTCGATGTGCAAGCTGGCGCCCCGTTAGCCACAGTGTGTGGCTTCTTCTGCCGTGGCCGTGAGTGCACTATAAGATTGTCTGGATCAGAACCTGGTTTTTTGGAGTAAGGGAAAGAGCAGGGCACACGGTAAAACACCAGACACAATAAAGACAGACAAGCAGGATTAATCATTGCAATTTGGAGTGGGATTTGAGAAAGAACAAATTAATTGCCAACGCTGAGGCATATTCTGCAACTAGAAGAATCTAGCTTAAAAATGGTTAATAGCTAAAATCATGAATCTCAAAAATATGGTATTATTATACACTCACAAAAATGCCTTGTTATATGCAAGGTTCTCCTATGAGCTCTATTGTGACTTCAGTAAATAAAACACTAAGTTGATTTTGGGGACCCGGGTACAATTCCTTGTTGAATTGTAGCCTATTATGGGTTGAACTCCGGGGTTCAATCACCAGCACTTGAACACACAGGCGGGCAGAGATTAAAAACAGAAAAGGCTTCCCTTGGACGAAGGCTTCCCACAGACAGACAGACAGACAGCCCTGTGTGCGTGTGCACGCAGAGTCCACAGCTCGGGAGCACTTACTTCCTGAGAAGGCACTGAGCAGCTTCACATTTTCTGCGCTGTGGGGGTCAAAGGTCGTCATGTTTAAAAACTGCTGTTTTAACCAGCTGGCTCTTTCCTCTTCAAACGCCTTTCTCTAGGGTAACAAACAAACCACAGAGTTGGCAATTACTCCACGTCATTCCCATAACTTCTCCCGCTGTTTTCTCTCTGGCCACCTGAATGCTTTTTGTATCAAGTAGTTGCCTAGAAACTAAAAGACACTTGAGAAAAGAATATTTAAAAAATAAAAATTTGGGGCTGGAGAGATGGTGCCATGGTTAAGAGCACTTGTTGCTCTTAAGAGGACCTGGGTTCAATTCCCAGTGCTCACATGATGGCTCACAACCAGAGTACCATCAGTTCCAGGGATGTAAGGACAAAAGGGTCTTCTGGCCTCTGAGGACACCAGGCACACAGGGTTCACAGACACATACAACAGAGACCTACATTAGGTTAAACACCCTCATACATAAATAATAATTTTTCAACAATTTAAATAATAGAAAATCATAGCTTTTACCAACTACACCAACAACTGTTGGGTTTCACCTGAGCAGAGTATTAGCCGCATTTCTGAACACAAAGAACACATGACCATAAAACTGGTGTCAGAAAATACCCTGCTTCATAAGTCAGCCACTTGGAAGGGACTTCTGATTACATCGGGCATTTCTTTCTCCACTAGCAGTCTGTCGTGGCCACTGCTCCTGAGCCACAAGAGGGCGGACACAGGGTGCACCAATGTGGCTCCCTCTCTGGTCAGCTGATGACTCCTAACTCACATCTCTGTGTGTCCCCTGTGTCGACAAGTGGACATGTTCTCAGAGAGCTGGAGGACACTTTTGTGGCCTGAGGAAGACACCTCCTGATGGAAGAGACTTTGCAATTGTGGAGGAAATCGGTGTTAGGCCTTAAAGTAACCAGGACTCATAAATAGGAGTTTGGAACAAAGTGTCACCAGACAGCAAAGAAAACCATTGGCAGATGAGGAAAAAGCCATGACAAGAAACTAACTGCAGATAACAATGTTTCAAGAGTTCTGAAAATACTGTCACACACATCAGAGACTCATAAATGCACACAAAACAATAACAGTGCACAAAGAAAATGAAAATTACAAACTCTGAAATAACAACTCAGCGGCTGAAGTAAACAATAAAACTGATCCTGGAAACAGTTTGAAGACATAAGAGAAAATCCAGAACTTAGAACCAATGTCAGGGGAAACAAGCAGAAGAAAAACATCTAAACTGAAGACATCTGGATGAAAAAAAACTAAGACGTATCCTGGCAAAATTAGGAACTACCAAAATCCCATAAACTTCCACAAAAGGGCTTGTGGGCTAGCGCCCCACAAAATTACCTACAAAGCAACAAAGGTCATGTTGTCAACTAACCTGCCCTCAACAACAAAAACTAAAACGAATAATTCTTTCAATTAATTCTTGAGGTGAAAGCTAGAAGTTAAAATTAAACACCCAGCTGATATAATCTAATACAGTTTTAGATATTCCAGTATTCAGATTGGTTGTCACTATGTCATGTTTCATTTTAAAAGGTGATGTAAGACGGTGACATAGACTTCACAAGGAAAGCACGAAAGTGACCAACCTGAGTGGCAGGAACACAGTCTGACTCAGCAGATTACAACATCAACACTAGGGAGGGATACCGCTTTCCCAGCAGGCAAAGTCTTACTACGTATTCAGGGCCAAGACTAGCTTGGTAGCAGAAGGATTGCTTTGCACGTATGAGGCCCTGGATTCAGCCCCCATCATTTATGTGTTCAAATGTATTATTTGTTTATAGGATGAATAATATCACATAATCATATTATCAACATTATTATCTGGTTTTCAATTTTTAAGTGCCAATTTAGACAAATCACCTTATTTATAGGTCTTCTATAGTATAGGGCAGAGTATAAAGTGATAGCACTCGGACAATGAAAACAATCTCAACGTGAAGGGCGAGTAAGAGAGGTGGGAAAAGCTAAGAAGAGGATTTTTGCTTGACATGATGGCATGTGCCATCATCCCCACACTCAAGAGGCAGAGCTCTGTGAGTCCAGTTTTTATTTTATGTGTATGAATGCCTACACGTGCATCTGAGCACATGCGTGCCTGTGCCCATGGAGGCCAAAGAAGACCTCCTTCCCTGGAAATGGAGTTAGCTTTAGATCCCTTGGAAATGGAGTTACAGACACTTGTGAGTGCTGGGATCCAGCCAGGGTCTTCTGTAAAAGCAGAAAGTGCCCTCTCTCCAGGTCTGAAATGGGATTAAAACTTTGTGTTACCACACCGAGCTCCCAGTAGACATTTCTTTTAATCTGTGGTAATATCTAAGGGATACATTTGGAAATAAAGAGGACACTGTCTCACTCCATAATATTTTGTATAGTCAGCTGAGTTTTAAAACCATATTGGGTCGCTGTGTCTGTAATTTTTGAAAGGGCCCTAAGGAGGCAATGCATTGCTGACAGAGTGCAACCCGTGGACAAACCGCTAAGTGCTATCCATTCCTCTCCAAGTCTGAGAAACACTGTCTTTTGCTGTGCTTTCTGCACTATGAAACAAGGTTGCTGCTGGTATTATCTTCTGGTACCACATGTATGCACAATGGATAAGAGACAGGTACCCAAAAGAAACTGAAAATCTAACAAAAGATTATCCATATGCTCAGCCTCCCTTCAATTTCCAGTTACTCGTAATGTACAGGCCTCCAGGCCTTAGCACAACTGACTCCATGATGGAAGTGCCACTCAGGCCATGAAACAAAGACCTAATCCTTCAAAGTCCATAGTCTGGGAATCTCTCTAAACACATTAACCTTGCTTTTTCACTTCTGTGGCTCTGCTTCTGGCTAACTGTTCTTGCTAACTGAAGTATGTCAACCCAAGATTTGGTTTTTGTGCTTAAAAGCTCAGCCTGAGGAAGGGATCCCAAACATACAGTGGTCACTGGCTGGATAATAAAGACTTTCTATTGGCTTAAATCCATGGAAGTCTTCTCAGGTAGATCCCCACACCAGGGAGGTGCCCGTGTGACACCCAAATAAAATGACGACAGAGCCAAGTTGGACCCAGGAGCGTGCACCTGCACACCATGCCCAATGCAGCGGCACTGAGAGCTCACCTCCAGCCCCAAGCGGATCGCAGCTTCTGTAAAGCTTCGTCTTTCTCTCTCAAAATTCTTTTTTTGCTCTTTAAAAAGCGACCACTCTTCTTTGAGGCGTTCCTTTTCTTCCAGCAAGTAACAGTCTCGCAACAGTGAGGTGGTGTCGTCATCACAGGCGGTGGCCAGCTGCTGCTGTTCAGGGTTAAACACGGGAAGTCAGGAAGCCCACACAGCTCACACACATTCAAGGGAGGGTGAAGAAGACAGGTCAAAGCTTGGCCACGGACATAAACTATGAAGAACCAGTCAGCCATTGAAAGCCTGCTTCCCCAAGTGCTGCTTCCTTTGGCAAAGAAGGGAGCATGTGAAGAAGGGGTGCAACTTATTACTACTCCTGTGCAGAATTCAACTCTGCAGACTTTGGGCGATACAGGAGCAGGAATCTAGCAGGTTCAGGAACACCCTGAGGACACTCCCACCTACCTGCAGGAGCTGCTGCTGAGCTCGGATCATTTCTTTACACTGTTGGATCTCCAGCTCCAGCTTTTCAGTCTCTTGTTCATGGTCTTGCCGTGAGATGACGTCCTCATCGAGGCCTTCCATGTGGACCTTTGAAACTGACAGAATCCCATCTGCTGTTAGTCTGTTGTCACCTGACACAAGCTAGGGTTATCTCGGAAGAGGGCACCTCAACTGAGAAAAGCCTCCATCAGACTGCTCTGTGGGCAAGCCCATAAGGCACTGTCTCTAGGAATTTTGCTTTGTTTTGTTTTTTGTTGTTGTTTTTTGTTTGTTTGTTTGTTTTTGGAGAAAGGGTTTCTCTATAGCTCTTGCTACCCTAGAACTTGCTCTGTAGATCAGGTTGGCCTTGTAGGAGGGCCCAGCTCAGTGGGGTGGGACCACCACTGTGAAGGTGGTCTTGTGCTGTGTAAGAAAGCAGGCTATGGAAGCCATGAGCAAGCCAGTGAGCAGCACTGCTCCGTGGCCTCTGCTTTGTTTCCTTCATGATGGCCTGTGAGCTGTAAGGTTAGGTGACCTCTTTCCTCCCAAGTTGTTTCTGGTCATGGTGTTTATCAAGACTAGAAGCCCTGACTAGAGCAGCCAGAAACCAGCACAGGTTTTGTGGACACACACTGGTCTTGAACTGATATTTCAAAATAAAAGTCTCCCAAATTTTCCCTTCCTGCTCTTCCCACGGGTTTTGTAAAAGGAAGTTATTTTCTTTAGCATTTTACATTTTCCTCAGTCGTAACAAAATGAAATGTTTTAAAGCAAAAACTCCAAGTTCTGACAACTACACAGTTATACAATTTTAGGGCTAAGTAGATTTACAAATAAGCATTGCTGCCAACATTTAACTTATAAACCACATTTATTCAAGACTATCATGAGAAGATTAATAGTATGCCTCACTGTGCCTCTGGTTCTCGCTACCCGGTCTTCAGGAGCTACTGGCCCAACCACAGAAGAATGCTAACAAACCCCACAGATGGATAAACTGTTTCGATGGCGACAGAAAGATACGAACGACTGTGTGTGCTCACATTAACTCCTACAGAACTAGAGTCCAGCAGCTGCTTAATAAACAGTGATGGCGAAACGATGTTATCTGTGCACCCACGGCTCTGGGGTGACAATCCACTGTTTTCACAATCTCAATTTATTTTATGTAGACTTCATTTACTAAATAGAGATCTTAGTGTTGAAGAAATGGCGGAGGTTAAAAGTGTATTCTGCTCCTGTAGAAGTCCCATGTTCCGTTTCTAGAAGCCATGCTAGGGGCTTATAACTATGAGTAACTAGCTCCAGGGGAGCCAACACCTCTGGCCCCCACAGGTACCAACAGTCACATGATATACCCATTTACAGACACACAAACACATTAAAATGATAAAAATAAAAAATAAAAATTTAACTTTCCTGACTTAAAAGCACACAGACTTTAGTACATATAAAATGGTTCCCCTTCATGTTCTTGCATTCCAAGTTAGTTCACTACAGAGCTGCCTGGAGACACAGCATCAGGACGGGAGTGATGCTTGCTGCTCTCTAAGGCTTGCTCTGGAGCCAGGGGCAAACCAGGCAGAAGGGGACACTCAGAACAGCAGGCAGCCTGTGACCAGCAGCTCTGAGCCCCACAGTGCGGCTGTCCAGCTGTCCGTGTGACCAGACAGCAAAAGCTTATGTCACAGCCCACTGCGCATGCACGGGGGCAGTTTATGTCACAGCCCACTGCGCATGCACGGGGGCAGTTTATGTCACAGCCCACTGCGCATGCACGGGGGCAGTTTATGTCACAGCCCACTGCGCATGCACGGGGGCAGTTTATGTCACAGCCCACTGCGCATGCACGGGGGCAGTATTCACCTTGGTTATCAAGTTTCTCTACATGACTCTTCAGGATTCTCCACTGCTTCCTGATGCTGTTTGTAAGCTGCTCTCTCACGGTATCACAGGAAAGGCCCCATCCACTCTCTCTGCTCGGCTCCCCAGCATCATCTTCAATATCAGAGATGACCTACAGCCCAGGGGGAACAAAAGGAAAGAGCAGCGACTTACAATGGCTTCACACCCAGGCAGACTGAGACAGTCTCTCTACCCATTACCTAGTACCTTATAACCACACTACTAACATTGAAGACAGAAACTCCCAAATTCACATCTCTTCAACTTTGACTCTACAGAGCTGTCTGAAGGGAGCAGATGCTGTCTGTGCCATGCTCTGTTACAAACCCTGCAGAAAGGTAAACTTGGGCTCAGTGTCACACGGCTGGCAGGTGGGACTGAGATGGGTCAATTTGTTTCTGTTAGACTGTCACAACAAATGAACCTTTTGAGATTATCTACGGAGTCAAATGAGCAATCCCAATTCCCTCATCATTTTATGCTCAACATGCTTTTCTTTTAATTGTAGCAAGACATGAAATTATAGGAAAATGTGCCAATGTTGATTAAGTTACCACAGAGAAATAATACTAAATAGTCTTTATTTATTACTAACTTCCAAGAAGGCCAAAATCCTTGACTATGAAAAATACCCTCAGGAGAAAGGGGGCAAAAAAGTAAAAGAAAGAGGAGTCATTAGGCCCCTCCCTCACAGACAAGCACAGCAGGAACAGAGGGGGGGCTAGATGCTGTGACGTCAGCACTGGGGTACCGGAGATCCTGAGCAGAGCAGCTGACTAAAGCTGGCAGAAGGCCCAGAGGCAGCTCTTGCCATCATGGGCCCGTAACCCATCTCAAAGCCTCTGAGACTACAAGCCGAGCACCCTCACCAGAGGTGCCGGACCTGAGCACTTGGGAGTTAAGACATTCTGAGATTTTAGTCTCTCTCTCCTCTCCTGCCCCAACCCCTGTGTGTGTGTGTCTGTCTTTCTGTCTGTCTGTCTGTTAGGGGTGGGACGAAAGCCTAAACATGAACTCTATTCCAAATGCACCTGGTACACACAATCTGAAAGCAGCTGACAGACCCAACTCAAACTGTCATCTTCAGATTTTAACACTGTGAACTTAGGTTCCCACGGCAGGTGCTTGAGTCAATCAGGCTTTCTCAGTGCTTGCTACCATGAGAGCATCTAGTCTGGAAGAACCCTCCACAGCCACTTTCTCTGTGGTGTCACCGCACTTGGCACAGGTGGTCACCGTTTCTCTACATGCATGCCCTTCCCAAAATGTTTCTTGAGGAAGTGTCGCCATCCTCGTTCTGTCTTTTTGGGACTTAGAACACAATGAGCTTCAATAAAGGCATGGACTGAATATTTCTTTAGTTCCACAGAGACTACATAGAGTGAAGACTGTCACACACGGCATGAAGACTGTCACACGTGGCACGAGACTGTCACACACGGTATGGTGGTTGAGTGTAGATACAAATCCAACTACTGTGCCTCAGTTTGCTCACATCTAAGAGGGGTACAATTAAATAATAGTCAAATGATTATAACATTATAAGCATCGTAATTCTGAAAATCATCTCCAGGAGAAACATGAAGGAGGTAATGCTCATGAGGTACCAGATGGTGGTCCCCAGGTGATTTCCAGGATGTGTCTGAAAATGCGCAGGGCAGTTTTCAGTTGTCACAGTGACTACAGGGGCAGAGCAGTGTGTACTCCCCAACACTGTTACCACCCTCACTGAGTTACCCAGCCAGAGTCTGACTTGTGCGGGCTAGCATCCGAGGCCAGTGTTAGAGACACTTACAACAGGGCCTGTGCCATCTTCTGCTCTTTCCCTGGGTTTCTTCTTCTGGGGAGAGAGAAGGGAAATCATCTCCTTCTTCATCTGTTGGAGGACCTTCTTCAGCTCGGCGTTCTCCATCAGGATCTGCTTCTGGCGGTACTCATAGTCATTCAGCAGGGTTTTGTACATTTCATCTTCATTCCTGGGGAGAAACCCCGGATGTAAGAACACGTACTGACAGCAACCCCAGCTACCACTGTCACATCACATGGCTATACCTGGCTTCTGTTTTATCGGTCCTCCACGAGCCTCGCTTTCCATCAGCTCGACCCACATAGTTTAAAACGTCCATGGCTACAAATGTAAGCACAGAACACAATCAATCTTTGTACCGTGTGCTAAAAACTCAACTACACCTGAGACACACGAGGGACTGACCCTGACCTGGCACATAAGTCAGGACCCTTCACTTCTTCCCTGGCTGGGGAATGAAATGACCCTCGAGCTCTTAAGGACAGAGGCATGTGCTCACTAGCGGGAGCTCAGTGTCACTATTAACTGCACTATCAGGGTGACAAACCCACTCTTGACACAAAGCTTTCCTAGAACTCATCGGCCTATTTACATACTGTTAGGGGAACCTGCCCTGCAGTGGCAGAGGGCAACACTAAGCTCACTGTCTGGCACTTACAGAGAAGGCCTGGCCTGGCCTGCCTTGTTAACCACATCACTACTCTTGACAGTACTAATGTTCCATCTTCCCCAGATGCAGACAGATGGTTTGGCATAAGAAAAGTTATTCTAATTTTGAACTAAGATGAAACCTATCATTTCTAACTGGGTTTGGGATAAGAAACGGCAACCCACCCTGGACTGCTGCTGCTGACATTTACAAAGCTAACTCTAGAATCCCTCCTTTTGACATTTAGGAGCCATGTGATGCTTCTTATCTCCTGTTCTCTCCATACCCAGCGTATTAAACACATACGTGTGTGGTGGTCTCAAATGTTTGAATACTTGGTCCCCAGTTGGTGGAACTGTTTGGGAAGGGTTAGGAGGTGTGGCCTTGTAGGAAGAGGTGTGTCACTAGGGGTGGGCTTTGGTTCTTCCTGCTTCATAGTTTGTCTCAGAATGTAAGCTCTCAGCAATGCTCCAGCACCATGCCTGTCTGCCTGCGGCCGTGCTCCCTGACATGATGGGCACTACCATCTGAGATGGTAAGCCCCAATATACTCTCCTCTAAGCTGCCTTCGTTACTCTGTCTTACAGCGACAGAGAAGAGACTAAGACAACATGGAACTAGTGATGCAAACTAAAACCCAGTTTTGTTTTCTCCACAAATCAGGTCTCTCAATTTGTAGTTTATAGGAAATACCTCAATTCTAGAGCCACTTAGAACTTAGAGCATACGAAGACACTCCACCGCCACGCTTACGGCACATCCCTGCAGCTGCTCCTCCCGCTATCCGCCAGTGCCATACCTAGTCTCTTGTCCTTCTTGTTCATAACAAGCTGATGCAGCCGTTCCTTTAGCTTATTGTATTCACGCTCCTTCCTCTTCATGTCATGATTATACTGAGTAGCCCGACTGGCTATGATATTTTGTAATTTTTGTACCTGAAAGCAAAAATACTTTCTATCAAACAAGTATTGATAAACCCGCTAAAATCCATAAATTCAAAAGGCAAAGCAAGTCCTATGCCCATCTTCCCACCAAAGAGTTTTTACTTCTAACCTGATTCTTCCTTTGTTATAGCCAGAGGAAAGCACCTAAAAACACGAGGTGAACAACACACAGTGGTATAGGGCTGCCAGCAGCTGCTTTCTCTCTGAGCAGCAAGCACCGGGAGCCGAGGTCAGGGATGTTCTTCTGAGTCTGCCATCCTGTGCATGCGAGGCCAGCGCCTACTGCTGACCACACTCCCAGACTGCCTTTCACTTCAAGGCAGGGTCTCACAGAGCTGTCCACACTGGGCTTCACTCTCAGTTTTCCTGCCCACCTCCTTAGCAGCTGGGATGACAGGCCAGTGCTACCAGGCTCAGCTGGTATACTCTGTTCTTTAGAGTCGTTTCCAACCGTGACCACAGAATGTGTTAGGTTACTCCATACCAAAAATAAACCACCATCAAGCAAAATGCAATAATCAACACATTACATCAAAATTTCCTACGCAGTAACTTTGGTTAGATAATCACTGTTCTCTTTTAAACACTAATTAAACAGCATAAAAAGAAATCTATTTGTTCATGGGCTTTTTAAGAAATAGATTCCTGGGGCTGAAGAGAAGGTTCAGTAGTTAAGAGACTTGCTGCTCTTACAGAGGACCTGGGTTCAATGCTCAGCACCCACAAGTTGGCTCACAACCACCTGTAACTCCAGTTCCTGGGGATCCAATCTTTTGGCCTCCGAAGGCACCAGCCATAAATGTGGTACACAGACATGGAGGTGAACCCCCATACAAAAATAAAATAAAGTATAAATAAAACAGAAATAAACTCCCTTTTAAGTCCCTTAAAGAACAAAACATTAAAATAATATTTTTATAGTTATTATTGACAGGGCTCACAGGACAGAACAAGGAAGCCTGCCGGTTTGCTCTCAGACACATCATAAATAACACCTCTAGGACACTAATGCTGTAGCTCCACCCTCCACACAGCTGCCACCAGCTGAAATAAGAAGGCTAGGTACCTACTAAGCAAAGATTAGAACTAGGGTATTTACAGTTAGAAATGAAATTTTTAATATGAACTGTCATAGCTTTGTGCATTCTAGGTAATCTACTAAGGTTAATTCTTTGCTAGAAAAACGGTAACATTTAAGATTGTGCAAGAGGGGGAAAGGAGATAGTTTAGTGGTAGGTAGAGGCCTTGCCTAGCATGCATGGGCCCTGGTCAGGTGAGAGCCAGACAGGACTTCACTGTAGAGGGAGAAATTGCTGAAGTGAGGAGCAGGTGGAAAGGGGTGAGCCGTGCATCTGTGGCAACACTGAGGAGACAAAGGACGAACATGCTGAGTTCTCGGGGCCCTCAAGTGAGTATGGAAGGATGGCACAGGAGGGACTGCCTGCTGCCAGCGATGGCTTGAGGTACTAAGTAAGAAAACCTTCTTGGGCAGTGGTGGTGCACACCTTTAATCCCAGCACTCAGGAGGGCAGGGACAGGCAGATCTCTTTGAGTTCAAGGCCAGGCTGAACTACAGAGCTAGCTCCAGGACATCTAGACATCTAGAACTGTCACACAGAGAAACCCTGTCTCAAAAAAAAAAAAAAAAAAAAAAAAAAGAACCAAACAAACAAACAAAAAAAGCAAACCTTCTTGGAGCAGGGCAGACGACAGGCACAGGGGTGTCCACCACGCTGGTGTGACACAGACAGGCACAGGGGTGTCCACCACACTGGTGTGACAGACAGGCACAGGGGTGTCCACCACGCTGGTGTGACACAGACAGGCACAGGAGTGTCATACCAGGGTGGTGTGACACCAGATCTTTTTTAAAGCCGAGTGGCGGCCATTACGTCACAATCAGCAGTTCAGCTCAGGCACGGCCACAGAGACTCACCTCATCCTTCTCATTCTTCAGGAGCTGATGCAGATTCCTGTTTTTGCACTGTAACTGTCTGTCTCTCTCCTGAAGCCCAATCATCTCTCGCCTCGAGGTTTCCAGCTGTTCCTGGAACATGAAATGAGCCATCTGAGTGAAGCCGACAGGAGTCAGAGTCCACGAAGTGCAGTGACGGAACTCATACTAACCTGGAGCTGGAGCCCAACTCCAGTGGCACACGGAATGTTTACTTCAAGCAGTTACTATCAAGTCTGATGTACAAAATCACATGCCTTAGTTGCTCTAGTCCATTCCTCACAGGAACGGCCTCAGTCACTGCAACTTAGCGTGCATCACTGTGCAGGACGATGGCACTCGGCGAACGGCACACAGACAGAAGAGACTGTCCTCCAGGGTCACAGACCTGGATCAGCCCGATTAGCATCCAGGCCCTAAGAGGGCTCAGTCATTGGAGCATGCACAGCTCACAGCCCTAGAAACCACTAAGTTCCTTCTTCAGCCTGTAGGGTCCCCCACTAGCCAAGACACACAGTGGGGTGCTCTCCCTGTCCTTCAGGCAAACAGGATGTACAAGGAGCTAAAGCACTATTACAGAGGCAGGTCTGAAGACCGACAAGGTACATCGGGCAGCAATGGGCTGAAAGGTGCATGTGGCACGAGGATCTGTGACACTTGGTTAGAGCATCCCCAAATGTGTCCGGTGCTCACGAGCAGGGCGGCACACACTGCTACCCTGCAAATAGTATAGAGACTGTGCTCTCCTGCAGCATCCAGAGAGTCAAGGTTCTCCGGCTTTCTTATCTGTCTTAGAAGGGGTGGGAAGAAAGAGGGCCAAGGACCAGTAGATGGAAAACCCCAAGAAAGCCAATTGCCAAGGGCATACACATGCACACAAAGGCTTTGTTCTCACAAGCAGGGCTTTATATAGAATACTGGGGGAAAACATAATGTAACTCTAATGTAAGTCTTTCCTATACCATGATTTAAACACTTGTTCACTTTTCTCGGGGGAGAATGTATTTCTTACAGAAAAACATAGAAAAGCTTTTTATAAAGAAAAGAAAGTAAACCAAAACTGGCAACAACATGTGTATGTGAAGGAGGCAGGCCAACGGCCTGTACCTTTGCCTTTCTACACAGAAGGGTGGCAAGGGAGGAGCCCAGGGAACTGCAGTCTCCCCTGCAGCAGGGGACTCCTTGCTGTCAGCAGCTGTCTGCCTCGCTCCCCTCCTGAGCTCTGCTCTTTGGTTCACATACCTTGGGAATGTTTTCCGTGGGGTCAGCATGTTATGATGCACCTACTTTATCAAGCAAGACTGGAAGAGGAGAGTACCCTGATTTTCCTCAGAACTCTTAAGTTCCTAACTTAACTCTTAAGCTTCCTAACTTGCTACAGCTTCAACAAGTTACTAAACAACAAAACCAAGGCCTTTAGCAGAGACAGCAAGAAGCAGAACCATCAACGTGTGCAAATTACTTGAAAGCATTCCTAAAGGAGCATCAGGCCTTAAACGCAGCTCCACCTGTGCACTGTGCCCGGGGTGAGCCCTGCCGCAGGAGGACAATAAGGTGTACCTTAAGTTTGGTGTAGCAGCTCTGCAGGTGGTCCATGTCACTGCCCAGCTTCAGGTTCTGGGTTTCCACACTCTCCTGGGCCAGAAGGTTCTTCCGCTGAAGCACAAGTAACTCATTCATACAATTTAAAACAGCAACTATATTTAACTTTCTCTTTGTCTCTTTACTTTTGGATTCTTCATATAAGGAAGGAAAACCGAAGGTAGTCAGTTCCTGAGAGGAGAAAATGTACTCTTAGCAGCTGGGTATCTCTGGGAAAATGTCGTCATAGGCAGGATGTTTCAGTTTGGCAGGAATGAGCTACTGTACCCCTTGTGATAAGCTAGTAACAATGTTGATCCTCAACACTGCAGAGTGGACCAAAGTCACCCTGACACAAAGCCAACCTCACTCCGCGCACTGTGGGGCCATCCCACAGTGTACGCAGACTTGATAACATCAGGCAGCATATAATATACAGTTAGCAATTTGTCCACTGGATCTTTCAGTATGTACATTAATTTTTTTCAGTGGATTAATGTATAACTTAGTGAAAAGAAAAAAAGTTAAAAAAAAATTCCTAGATCATTAATATTAATTATTCAGAGAACAAAAACTTAAACAACTTTAAATTCTCTGCTGACCAATCACCCAAGACCTGGTGTAAGTTCTCCAGCTTTGTTATCAATGAAACGAGGGCTGGACAGCCGCACAGGACCCTGGGACAGAAGGCATCCAGCTGGGCAAGCACAGCAGTCAGACCTGTGTCAGGGCAGGCGCCCCCACAGTCTCTGAAGACCTAACGTCTAAGTCTTGGCCACTACATAACGACACACTCAGGGCAGACACCCCCACAGTCTCTGCGGACCTAACGTCTAAGTCTTGGCCACTACATAACGACACACTCAGGGCAGACGCTCCCACAGTCTCTGCGGACCTAACGTCTAAGTCTTGGCCACTACATAACGACACACTCAGGGCAGACGCTCCCACAGTCTCTGCAGACCTAACGTCTAAGTCTTGGCCACTACATAACGACACACTCAGGGCAGACACCCCCACAGTCTCTGCGGACCTAACGTCTAAGTCTTGGCCACTACATAACGACACACTCAGGTTGGCACATGCTTTTCTTGTAGCTTTGATATTTTCTGGTATATAACATGACTTATGCTCTTACCAAAAAAAAAAAAAAAAACACATTACCTGGTCAAGATATGAAATACTTTGTTCAATGTTCTCTTCTGTGCAGAAGGCACTGACAACACCGTGCACATTCTTTGATAAAGGTATTGAAGAGCACAGCACTTGCTGGGAGTATAAACTTGATGGAGACATCTTCGTTTCTGAGGTATATTGAGAGAGATTTTTGCTTTCTGAAAATAAAAAGGCATTCAAGCAATTAAAAAACTACCATAATCTCTATTACCAAAGATTCTGAATTACACATAAAATTAGAGCAAAATACTTTTGTGTGACATATAAATACATTTTTACTTTTTACCAAGATGAGAAAATGACACATTACATTAATGTTCTTTCTTGATAGATACGTTAAAATGGATTCACAGCTTAACTTCCACTATTGATTTATAAAAATAGGAAAAACATACTTGTTCGTGCCATTCAGTGTACGTGACTCAAAGAGTTAGAGACTGAAGGAGCCAAAACATGTATTTCAAATGTGTAAAGTTTCTCTCAAAAATGGTAATAAATAATCTATTGCCCACTTGGCTTTTTATAACTTTACTGGAAATGAACACCAAGTGCGTGCTAACCACTGATAGCTGACATCACATCTTCCATGTCTGTGGTTTTCTCATTAATCCCTCTGTGATGGCGTCTGCTGTTCGGACTCAGTTACCTGCACACAGACTGGGATCTGTAACAGTCATCCAATCTCCCATAGCAATTTGCAGAGCCAGGATACCTGAGGAGGTGGTTCAGGGCTGAAACATGTACAAGGGCTTCTGGCGCTCTACGTGAGCATCTCCTTAGGAAGCAAGGGACAGAGGCATCAAATTTAAAAGGTGAGACCCAATGAGAGCAAAAAATAGCTTGTATGTTCTTTGAGTTTCATTTCATTTCATTTTTTATGCAGATAAATGTTTTCCCTGAATTTGTATGTGCCCCATATGCATGTCTGGTGTTCATAGAAGTCAGAAGAGGGTATCAGGTCCTCTGAAACTGGAGTTAGAAATGGTTGTGAGCCACCATGTGGGTGCTGGGAACTGAATCCATGCCCCTGCCAATGGCAGCAAGGGCTCTTAACCACGGAGCCAGCTCTGTAGTCCATTATGTGCCCCTCTGTGACCAGCTGTCTAGGCTCCCACCTCTGTGACCAGCTGTCTAGGCTCCCACCTCTGTGACCAGCTGTCTAGGCTCCCACCTCTGTGACCAGCTGTCTAGGCTCCCACCTCTGTGACCAGCTGTCTAGGCTCCCACCTCTGTGACCAGCTGTCTAGGCTCCCACCTCTGTGACCAGCTGTCTAGGCTCCCACCTCTGTCACCAGCTGTCTAGGCTCCCACCTCTGTGACCAGCTGTCTAGGCTCCCACCTCTGTGACCAGCTGTCTAGGCTCCCACCTCTGACCTGCCACATGATAGACCATAACCTGGAATTATAAACCAAATAGACCCACTTTTCCCAAAGATGATTTTCATCAGGATGTTTAATTACATCAACAAAAATGCAAACTAGAACACAGAGACACACAGGCTGTGTGTGTGGGGTGTCTGTGTGTGTGTGTGTGTGTGTGCCTGCATGAGTGCAATACAAATAATATGTATTTGTATCAAGGTTAGAGATTTCCCAAGACACATGGTACCCGATCTGACTCTAAGGGTACAGGACTCTAATAGGAAATATTTCTGCATCATATCCAAGAACAACTCTTTTTTCTTTTTAAGTTTTTCAAGACAGGGCTTCTCTGTGTAGTTTTGGCTATCCTGGAACTCACTTTGTAGACCAGGCTGGCCTTGAACTCAAGAGATCTGCAGGCCTCTGCCTCCTGAGTGCTGGGATTAAAGGCATGTGCCACAATCTGGCCCCAAGAACAATTCTTGTTTATATATATGAGAAGGTGAAATCTTGTTTTGTTTCTCCCGATTACATCAGCACATCTTTTATACTCTGAGCCCCAGTCTCGCACAGCACAGTGTAGGGAAGAAACATTCTATGTGTGGCATTTTAGGCAACACCATCTCACACTCAAGGGGCAAAGCTGGCAACATGGATTTGGAAACACTGCTCACAAGTTTATCCTCAGAAGATGATGTGCACAGAGATTTATCTACAGGGTGCTATTCATAATATGGAAAATCAAAGCAAAAACATATCCACAGAAAACTGGTCATCCAATAGAACATTATACAGATTTAAACAAAGCTGCAGAATTAAAAATGGCTAAGGAATATCAGGCTAGAAATACAATGAGTAGTGAACTAAATGAAGATGGGACTTTCGTTTACTATTCTTGCTTCCACCTTTCAACAGATGAGACGCATTTCAACCACAAGAAAAGCAATTCAAATGAAATTATAACTGGCAACTGGCAACAGACTTCCAGGTCAGGCGAAGGCAGGAGGTGAGGGTGTGGGCAAATGGGAGGACACGTGGGACACTGTGGGCAGCTGCTTCTCAGCACAGCAAACTGCAGTCAAGAGGCTGCCCCTGGGCTGGAGGCTCTTTCAATTTTTAAAGATGTTATGCACTTTTATATGAAATCTTCCAATTTTTAAATGTTAGAGGCTAATTATAAAACATTATGCAGTTTATTCCATGGGAAGAGGGAGTGAGGGGGGTATAATGCAGCCTTATCTGAGGCTCAATTACATGGGAACACACGTAATTCATTAAGTTGTATGTGTAAGTTCTATACTCTTTGCTATAAGCTATAACTCACCATCTAACAAGTCAAATTAAGTTTATCATAGTGTATCACGTATATCATAGCATATCATAATATAGCATGGGCTATAGGGCCATGACCACTAATTCTTCTCTGAATATTTAACGATTTAGTGAGGGCTAGATCAAAGCCTCCCCTCACCCTAAGTGACCTGAGCTCCCACTACACAGCAAGCACAATTTCTAGGCACAAGGGAGGCTGAGTTCTCTAGAGTTCACCTTCTGAGAAAGGTGAGCAGGACACACTACAGAAGCAAGTAGAACTCAGAGTGATTAGAGCTACAAAGAAAACAAGCTCAGCAACATCAAAATGTTGGGTAGGGAAAATCTAGATCAGTCAGGGAAAGTTACACAGTGATGGGCCAGTTCCAGTTTGCAAATGGATGTCCCTTAGGGGCTCTTTAGCTAAAGGTTAGGTCCCCAGCTAGAAGCACTATTTGGGAGGTACTGGACACGTCAGGGGTGGAACCTAGAGGAATTGGTTTCTGGGGTGAGAAGTGCTCTGCCCTCTTCCATCAGTGACAAGGAAAGCTCATGTTTTCTACTGTGTGCTTCTCACGCATGCTCAGCCACACCTCAGGCCTGCCACAGTGGGGCCAGCACCAGTCAGCCACAGATGGAAAGCTCTGAAACTCTGAACCCAAATAAATCTTCACTCCCTTTACGCTGTTTACCTGTCACAGCTCACACAAGAGAGTGACATTTGAGCAGAGACTTAAATACTATGGAGTCAGTCCCAAGACAAGGGAAATAGAAAGTACAAAGACCTGAAACAAAATTGAACTTGGCAAGAAAAAGACAGAAGGCTGGTGTGCCTGGTGCACAACGAGCAAGGCTGGAGGGCAGCAAGCTGGATTTCTGACTGTGTGAGAAGCTGCAGAGGGGCCCAAAGCAGGAAAGTAACATGGGCTCCTTTATGCTGCAAGTAGCATCACTGTTAGTACTCTGGGCAAACTACAGGAATCAGCAGAAAAGGCTGGGGACGGTAACAAGGTTACTGCAACAGCACAGGTCCAGCCACAGAAACAAACACCTGGAAGCGGCAGAGATGTGTTCTAGAGAAAGAACCTATAGGTCTCAAGACAGACAGAAATGTGCATAAAGAAGTCAGGGCATCTTCCGTTACAGCAGACGACATGTGGCAGGCCGTGCAGGCTGTGCAGTCTGGCACTGGTACCTTGCTCTACTTGTGTGATATGATAAAGAAGGTATCCGGGATCATTTTATCCCTCAGTGGATGTCTCCAGTGCCATGAAGAGAAGGGTAATAAGGATGAGTCTGCATCAGGTAAGAAAAACACGTTAACTTGACTTTAGGACTCAGGGACACAGCTCTAAGCAAAACACAAGAGTAAACAAACCCACGTATCGGTGACAGCTTTTTTTGGGTGATGTGGGATTCCCTTCTGTATGCTGTGAATACCATTGGTTAATAAACTGTCTTGGGCCTGAGCAGGAATAGAGGTAAGCAGGGAAAACTAAACGGAATGCTGGGAGAAAGGAGGAGGTGTTAGAGAGAAGCCATCAAGCTGCCACCAGAGACAGACATGCTGAAACCTTGCTGGTAGGCCACGAGTCTTGTGGTAAAATATAAAATAATTGAGATGGGTTAATTCTAGATGTAAGAGCTAGCTAGCAATAATGCTTAAGTAATTGGCCAAGCAGTGATTTAATTAATACAGTTTCTGTGTGGTTATTTCAGGAGCCTGGGCAGCCAGAAAACGAACAAGCAGCCGTCCTACTACATTTGGGTATGTTTTTCACTGATCATGTCTCATAATGGTGACATGTACTTTAGTGTGACTCCTTAAATGAGGCAATGCATGAAGTATTTACCACACTGCTTGGTACATGGAGTGAACAGTGTGAGTTCACTGTGTTCCTTTTCCTCATCGCCATGACCAACGATCGGAGACAGACAGAGGACTATTTGGGCTCACAGTCTCAGAGATTTCAGCCTACTAGAGAGAGGGAGGGAAGATGTGGCCATGTAGAGCAGCTACATCACTGGTGGTGGGGGAGGAGCAGAGAGAGAGAGAGACAAGGTGGGTACTGTGGGAATGTTAGTATCCACATGAGCAGGCCTTCTCCTTCAATCTCTGCATAACGCCAGCCTATGGGATGTGGCTGTCCATTCAGAGTGGGTCTTCACCACTAGACAGTCCTTTGTGGATGTGTACTCACAGCTACAACTGTTCCTCACAATCACGGCCTAGACACAGCTCTGTCTGGTGTGAGCGACAGGCAGAGATGCACCGCTGCTCTCAAGGACAGGGGGACAGAGATTCAGAAGCCCTGGAAACTCATGTCCACGTAGATGCTGGGCAGATCTAGTCCACTGCTCTCAAGGAAAGGGGGACAGAGATTCAGAAGCCCTGGAAACTCATGTCCACGTAGACACTGGGCAGATCTAATCCACTGGAATCGGCTGTCCACATGGAAAGCAGCAGTGACCTAATCCCCTGTAATCGCAGGGCTAGGGAGACACAAGAACAGACCACCTCCTTTCCAAGAAGGCTTGTTCATTTGTTACAGTATCTGCAAGTGAGAGAAAAGAGCTGCATGGTTTTTCTCACTCACAGAGACTCACAGACCGAGAGCGCTCACCTGCTCCGTAAGGCTGAAGGCCTCTGTGCCTGGACTTAGTTCTTCAGCATCTACAAGTTTAGCCTGTGAGTTGTTTCCTGTCCTATCCTGTTCTCTCTCTCTCTCTCTCTCTCTCTCTCTCTCTCTCTCTCTCTCTCTCACACACACACACACACACACACACACACACACACACGAACGCACACATAAACCATGCAATCTAAGGATGGACCAAATTATACACCATGAGACTTGGGAGAAGTTACTCTACCAGCTGTTTTCAAGAAAGGGCAATTGTACCTTGTCCGGAAAACCCAAGAGGTTAGTTCACACAAACTATATTGTAGCTCAATTTAAGATTTTATTTTAATGATTTTTAAAATAAATGAAGGCTAATTTTAAAGAAAACAGTATCAGGGCATCTCCGTGTTACACAGCCTCAGACTACCGCAAACCCACTGCAATGTGGGAGAATCAAAAGTAAGCAAGGTCTGTCACA